ACCTTCTCTTCTGTCCCTGGTCTTTTTTTTTTTTTTCCTAAAGGAAGGCTGTTTTATTAAAGTCTTTGTGTGTAGGGTTTCTAAGCAATGAGGTTCTCCCAGTACCAAATGGAAAAGGAGGGATTGTTGAACTCAGAGTCCGAGGAGGGGAATATATAATAGGAGTATCACTTAAGGAACAATATTTGGGGGTGAACTGGATGAAAAGTAGCCAAGAGAAAGAAGTGGGAGGCCAGGAGTGTGGCCTAGGTGCTTAGGAGGAGGTCCTTGTGGTAGAAGGGGCTTTGATGGGAGGAAGCAGACACTGTCTTAGTTTCCTCGCTTAGCTGACCACAGCCAGACACCTTGCTCCTCAATATGCTAGGAAGTGCTACACAGTGTTAAAATGAACCCAGACAGTGTATTACATATATGAATATCAATTACAAGACATTACTAAGAATAAAGAAGTCCATGTGACCAGATGTTTGGGTAAGTCATTAGTCACAGGTCATTGACCATTGGCACCAAGCTTTCTGGTAGCTGAGTTGCCCAGTCCCTAGTCTGTGTTTAAAGACTCTTGTGATTAGGTCTTCCTGGACAGCCCAGTATCATCTATTTTTATAAAGTCTGGTGATGAGCCAATTCAGTCCAATCTCTACCCTTTACTTCCCCTTTGCCATATGATCTCCATATTCATAGGTTTGCTAAATTATCCCATGGACATTGCTGGTTAAAGGTGGCAAGGAATGTTGTTCCACATGCCACATATCAAATTGCCCAAACGTTTTTTATATCTTTAAACTTCACTTCTAAGGAAACTAAGCTTCAGGGTACTACACTGTTTTCCCTGGTTCTCCGGTGCCAAACAGTATTTTCTCAAAAAACTGAAAGAGATGCTATTATAACCAACTGTAAGCCGGGTCCCCCAAATTTCATCTTGCTCTAAGCTTCAATTTTGTTTTGAGTGTGCTCTTGGTTTTGCTCTTTTTCTCTTTGAAGAAGTCCCTACTTCAAGGATTTCACTTCTTGCTTTTTCTGTTTCAGAAGTGTCTGGTGAGAAAAGTGATCCAAAGTGATCAAGTAAGGGACTCACCCATTTTAGCAACATGAAAGACAATATAGTAAAAAATTATCTTTTAGACAAAATCCTCATATTTTTCAAGATTCATAGAATGTAATTAGTGTCTGGGAAATGCTCGAGGTAAGGATCATAGTATTAAGCTTCAGCACAGTTGAAAATAGTTTCTTTGCAACTGGGATGGTATTCTTCCCCACAGGTGACTGTGATCCTGGCCATTTTGTAGTTGGGGAAATGGAGATTGAGAGGGGCTGGTGCTTACTGTGTGGCCTTTTGGCCCATCTTTGCTTCAACCCTAAATGTCTCTGAGTCAGTTTGACTCTCTCCAAGCTGAGATTCCTCTTTGACTCCGTGTCCAGCACTCTGCAGCCATTCCCCATTCTGAGGAGTTTGCTTTGAGTAACATCGTCTGCTACCTTCTGGTTTCCAGGAAGCCTTGATCCTGATTTGCTTTTTGAGATAGTGACAATGCAAATAAGTTAGTTATTTGTTCAGTGCAGTAAGTTAGCAACAGGATCTAAAACTGAACAGAGTTCTATATTTTTATTGATAGGTGGGGATTTTATCTTTACCATACAACTTCTAGCAAATGCAGGGAATGTATGGAGGTCTTTCAAAGTAAAGAAAATGCATTGACTTCCCTTTGTTGTTATAATATACATAAAAAATCCAAGTGTGAATAAGGAGTAGCTAGGTAAATAGTGTACACCCCTCTATTACATTCCTCTCCAGTAAGTTCTGCTATCTTGTTTAGCAAATTCTTACTTTTTTGTGCTTAATTTTGCATGTAAAGTACCATTAAATGGGAATATTTCCTTATCTACTTTGTAAAAATTCCATCCATATTATCAAATAACAACCTATAAGTTTCTCTAAAATATTTTCCACATGCTAGAAAGAAAATCCCAAATTTGGAGTTCTCTGTATGTCTTTATAGGTTTGCGTATATTTTTAGTGTCCAGTATATGAAAAGATCATCTGTTTTCACTTAGTTTTATCTTTTACAGACCTATACAAACACATCATAGATTTGTAGGTACTTTAATGCCTAGTGTTTGTTCAATAAATAGAAAAAGCTAATGTTGGGCAAGTGCAGCATTAGTCAAATATTTTATCATTTCTAGGATTTTATTGTGAAAATAGGAGATAATTGAGCAGTTTCTTGATTATTTTATGTTCTTTACAAATAATGTAGGTTTACATAATGTAATAAAATTTGGAAAGTACATTGTTTTTTATTAATATTTCTTAAAAGATGTATATCTTCAGAATTATTGTCTATAAATAATAAGTATTTTGAGTGACTAAATTCATTTCATAGTGGGATAAAGAACTTTGATGGAAAATTTATGTGGATTCTAGGCTTCAGGGTAACTTGGTCATGTCAGTATCAGTGATTTTGACAAATCAGTTAACTCTTCCAGTTAAATATATCATTTGTAAAATGAGGTTACACATATTATTTCAGTTTAATATATTAAATTGAAACTGTATGTCTGGATCATGCTAAATATTGTTCTGACTGCCTACCATCTTTCATTAATTGTAACTTTCTTAAGTAGCCAATCTGCAAGGCAAAATGCCTTTATTTTGTAAGACAAATTAAGATGCCATTTATTTGAAGTTTAATATGCACAGTAAAATCTAGACAGATATTTGAGAAGTTATTTAGTATTATCAGTGTATTGGACATCTCTTTTTCTTTCTTTCTAGAAAGATGTTTTGGGTAAATTGCTCTTGAAGAGACCAAAGGTGCTAATTTCTATAATGTATTATAGAAGATAACAATTTCTACAGTACCTCCTCCCACATCCTCCATGCCCTTGATAACAGAGATGTGTTCGAGAACAGGACAGTTGGCTTTTCATAAGGTGTGTTGAGTGTGTGGTGGTGCAGTTAGAGGTCTGTCCTTCCCCTGTCCTGCAGGGTGCTACTGGCTGCTCCAGCTTTTTTTTTTTTTTTTTTTTTTTTTGAAGGAGATGCCTTGAAAAAGGCTGAGTTATTTGCTCCTGCCGCACATCAGGTGACACAGAATGACAAAATCTCCAATTTTTGTTAAAGTATCCTGAGTTTGATTTTCACAATTGTAACAAAGTCTTAAAGCTAGCACATAAAGGCAACTAGTCAGCTGGGTTATCTACATTCTGCTCTTTTTTCCATTTTCAAACCTCCAAATTTCAGCCTTTGCTCATCAAGTAAATAACATATCTACCAGGTAGAGCCTTTGGATCTGGACAGCACACAGTCTAACTTCTATGTTGGGGCTGAACTCTGTGTCTTGACCCTTTGTCTGGTTTTGACAAGTGCTACAGTTTGACTGTGTGGGAAACTCCAAAGAGGAAGTATGAGTCATTCAAATCAAGTGTTTTCTTGGGGGAAGCCCTCTACAGCACATGCTTCTTTCTCAGAACCGCTGGGAACAGGAAAGAGGAAGATCAAGTTCTTCTACTCTGTGCTTAAATAGCAACTTAAGAAACTGTGAGAATGTCTATCCCAAGAGAAGAGATGCTTGACCAAAAACTTAAAATACCTGAAACACCCAACTGAAGAGTTTGTTGTATACTATGATTTATTACAGGAAATTATATTTTGATTTGTGATCATTTTTCCCATTTTCCTGTCGTCTACATTCTCCCTTATATTCCAAATAATTACTGTTTTCTGTTTGTTTTGTTGTTGTTGTTGAGGTAGTATCTTGTTTTTTAGCCTGTGCTAACTTAAAACACTACATAATCCAGGTTGGCCTCAAACTCAGTAATCCTGCCGCCTCTGTCCCTTGAGTTCCAGAATTTCGGTTATGAATCACCCACACCTCTCTCTAAATAACATTTTAAAATTACCTTTTAAATGGCAATGTTTTCTTATTTTAGAAAAATACTAAATTCAGAAACCAAAATTTATAAAAATGAATCTCATATAATACTACCATCAGGATCAGATATGATTAATTTTAGGCATACATTCCAATGCTTTTTCTATGCAACAATTCTTTTGACACTCAAGTTGAAATGATAATGAATATTCAACTTTATGTCCCCATGCTTTCAAAAGACAAACCTAAACATTGTCCATTCCAATTTCCTCCATATCGTTCTGGTACCCTATCACTCCATGAACACTGCAGAATTACATCTTTGATGCTGTTTCAGGGGACCCAAAACATTCATACTATGTGTGAAGGCTTTTCCCTAAGGAAAATCATAATCCAGGTCTCAGATGCATTTGTCTTCCCAGATAAGGAAAAACAACCTTAAAATTATTATGTTAGTACTATAACATCAGATGATCAGATTGGAGATGTCATCAAGTGCATTTATATGAGTGTAATAAACTGTTAACATGGCTTGCAACTATGAAGTTTGATTGTTTCTTGGTAAAAAAAAAAAACAAACCCTGAATCATAAACATCAAGCATCAGCACTAGGCTTTTCAGACCTTTTGTTTTCCATGATGAGATCTCATCATTATTTGTGGTCAGGGACGATGTTTATTTTTCTACCAAACTTCCCCTGTATCACCAAGATCCCCATTTTTTTTCAAAGAAAATAAAAACACATTTTGTCTAAGAGGTTGAAAACAGCAGGGAAGTTTTTCATTGTTTTAGAGGAAATGCAAAGCACAAAGGAGTTGACACTAAGAAAATATAATTAGACAAAAAGTTAGGATGCAATAAACATGCCATTTTGACAACAGTCACATGTGGCTCCTATGTTCACTAAATCACCTGAATGGCTCAGCTCTTCAGTTTGGGGACAGTGCACAATGGGTGTCAGCCTAAGTCACCCAACTATGATTGTGATCCCTGACAGGATTTGGTAGCCATATGAAAAGTCCGATCAGCAAACTGGTTATCTTGAAAAGAAAATGTTGGTAAAATAGTTCACATTATTCTTTTAAAAAAAGATTTAGTGTGAAACTATGAAGAAAGTATAAGACTGCATAGAAACCAATACTCCATTTAATCTTAATTTTTTTTCAAGGCATAAATGGTGTGTGTAGGTTTACATGCGAATGGGGGGATTGGAACAGAGTCAACTAGGTATAGAAACAACATTATGAAAATATTTGTTGTTATTTTCTATGCCAGAGACTAGGAACTCATTAAAAAATTCTGATTATGCTTCTCTTGACATAGTAGAATCTTATTTTCTTTCCAAAAGAACAGATACCTTCTACTCCAAGAGCTCCACCCATTGCTACAGGAATTATAAACACTTTGAGGAAATTAGCAAGCATTTGCCCTGTCAACATGCCTGGTAGTAACAGTATCACAGCCCCAAGCTTGTTAGCATTTTGGTCCCTGTTTCCTGGGTAACAGATTAAAGGGAAGGCAGCATTGGTATGAACTGCTGGAATAGAATTGTCTTCTACTTGGGTAAGAGAAGCAGAGGCCTCAAGGAATATGCATGTGCCCAAGGCCACTTTGGCAGCAGTGGCAGAGTTGAAGTAGGACAAGCCCTTACCTTTCTGGGGAGCATCCTTTGGCCTTGCACATAGACACTGTGGTATGGAAGCAGACTCCTTGCCAACATATATTGCTAGGAGCTTTTTCTCATCCTTGCTAAGTTACAACAGCTCTCAAGCCCTGGTGTTCTGCTTCTAAACTCTCCCTGATCAGAACTTAAACATGGTGGGAGTGGATTTATGAGTGAGATTATATATAAAGTCATATAACAGACTGTTTTTAGGAATTAAGAGAACACAGGGTTCTAAGTACCAGTTACAACAAGTGATGTCTGGATGTATGAGGAAGAGGGAAGAAATTGCTCTTCTCAGTTTTGCATGTCCTTTAGCCCAAAGGTTTGTTATATGTACAGCAGGGATGTAGGCACTGGAGTTGCTGTTATATAGGAATGGGAGCTTGCTGCTTTAATGAACTACCAGTGGAGATTTATAGTTTGTAGCCATTTATAGTTTGTACTAGTTACTCTTCACTTCTTTAGTTGCTATCACAGACAGGGATAAAAATAACCCAGAGATAACTGTTTCACTGAAATCTAGTACTATCACTACAAATAATACTCAAGTATGTTTAAGTTGATTTAAAAGAAATAGATATAAGTATACTATAATTATCTATTATAGTAGTATTTGTGGTAAAAGGGCAAAAATAAGGATATTTGTGGTTAGTCTGAAACTGTTTTCAATATTTATGATAATTTTTTTGCAAATTTTGGGAAAGTGATTGCACAGATGGTTCAAGTAAAGATGAATATGTAAGAACAGTCCACAATGCATAGTTGTATCATTTGTAACAATCCAAAGCAGGAAACCTCTTAAAGAGCCCATCAGCAATAGGATGGAAATTTGTAATCTAGTCACACAATAGAATCCCTTTTGACAATGACAGATCCACACACAAACCACCCACACAGCTGTATCTTACAAATGTAAGGCAGAGAGAAGTCAGATAAGAAAGAATGCATGATTGACTAAAAGACGAAATGGGGGCAAAGCTGGTACATGGTGCTGGAGCTCTGGATAATGTATGTGGAGGACTGAAACAATGATGGCGGAGAGCTAGGACAGTGTCTCATTTCTTATAGGTTGTAGCTGCAGCGCTGTGTTCAGAGGGAGACCATTCACTAACTATATAGCTCTGTTCTATACAGTTTTATATATTATATTGTAGTAACATTTTTACAGACACATGGGCTTTTGCCAAGAAGCATGAAAACCAATATATTGGGTAGAAATATTCTTATTTTCACCTTTTGATAGAAAAATAAGGATTGTAGAAGTGTACCTCTTCTGCAACATCTTAACTGGATAGTGAAATGCACTAAAGTAAGCAGAAGGACAAGAAAGGAAGGGAATATGAGCACTTAGGGAGGAATCCACTCAGGGTCCACGAGTTGTAGAAATCCAGAAACAGGTCTGCTGGAGGCCTCCCATCTCCACTCAGACATGGGCTTTCTAGAACTAGCTGGCTTTCACACAGGCCTGGTAAGGGGCTCACAACTTTGATTTATTATCAAAATATTTCCATTAGATGACAAATCTGAAGAGATAAGGACTCATGGAGCAACACAGATACAGTTAGGCCCTTTTCTAGCCACCCTTGGGGACAGACTTAATCTTGAAAATGCTGTCCATAAACCACAATGATTACATATCTCTAGACAGTGGGTCGATGGTAACCTTCACCCTCACAGTTTGTACTTAAAACTTCTCACCAATATGATTTACAGATTTAAAAAGTCCCAAATTTTCATCTGTACATCACATTACAGATCTTTGTAACTATCCATCTTGGCCATTTAACTTCAATATTCACCGATTACCTATAGTAATGGTTATTCAGTTACAAATGTAGTTAGTAATTAAATATAGAATTATTGTTTATACATTCCTACAAATCCTTTAAAAAGACTAAGTCTGAGAGGCAGAGGGAGCAAGAAATTGCTCAAAAAAATTGCAGGGGCGGAAGAATCTCAACATCATTAAAGTAGGGAAAATGTGGAAGTTTCAGATATTCATTTTTACCATAACAGTGCTTCACCTAGAATGATAATGAGTAACTCATGTATGGTAAAATGAGCTCTGAACTACTCAAGCCTTAAGGCCACAGTACGCATGGGAGTTCTTTGGGAGCATTTTAAAGGAGCATGAGTGTTGCAAACAGAAGTGAGTGCTGAGGCAAACCACCGCTGTGCTCTGGTGCCCAGCTGCATTCAACATCTTCCCCTCTTTGATCAGAAGTAGTCTGCCTCAAGAGTTAACACTGTTCTCTATGGACAGCACTAAACTTGCTGTGTGTGTGAGAAACAGAAATGAACAGTAACACTGCCGTTGAAAGTAAGCATTATTTACACAGTGATGTGATTGATTTGATAGACCTTAGGTTACCTCCCCCTTCCAATCACAGTGGATTCAATAAGATAATTGCATGTATGTTAGCTTGTGCTCATCTCTGTGAATTGTCTCCATTAGCTGCAGAAACTTCCAGGGCCCAGTGTCCCTGAAGGGAGAGTCCTGTTTCTGTGGCTTTAACGAGTCTTGCCATGGATGCTCCGCTTCTCGTGAAGATCACCAAACCCGGCATTTTCTTTCTGGATTCATGTATGAATTCTTGCGGCAGTGAAAGGCGTCTGCAAACTCAGCAGAGTTCTGCAAAGTCCCAATAATCCTTTGAAACAAACAAAAAAAGTTGCCGTCAGCACTGGACGCTCAGTGTCCATGTCACATTTGGAGACCCTAGACATTCTCTTGGTCTGCTTGTCCTTGTGGCTGTGAGCCCAGCTTTCAAGGTCTGAGCCATCTCTCCAGTCCCCTCCTGCAGAAGTTCTCTATGCAGCTCAAATGAGTGAATAGAAACTTGGTATGATGAAATAGATCCTTTATATTTACAACATTCTTAAATGGATGGAAGGCCATCAAGCAGGAGTTAAGAGCACAAACTTTGGAATGTTTTCGAGACTTTTCAGGATTTTTATCTGCAGCATGCATCTAATACATTCTATCAAAGCTGTTGTTACAATATCACTAGACTGTAAAGAGGATTCACAACATAAAAGTATGCTACATGTTTGTTTATGATACGCGGACAATTAATATTTGAAAGTGTGGTGGTTTTTGTGAGAAGAGTTTAGTGAAAAGATAAAAAAAAAACCCATGATTTTTAACTGTTTCTTAAGAGATCTCAGATTATTTAAATAATGTTTTAATAGTTCATTTTATAGTAATCATAATATAATCATGATCAATAATTTTAGAAAGCTATTTCAATGTTTATATTAAGTATATATTTCTTTTAATTTAACTGATTAACTGTTTTTGACCATTTCATATTTACATATATGTATATATATGAGGATACCTAAAACATATTCTGACTACTCTTTCTCTTAGTAGATTTTTGTTGACTTAATTTAGTCAGAAAGATAGAGAAGTTATTTTCTTTTTTTTTGGTCCCCAAAGCACTCTTTACATATTAGAAACTGGATTCAGTCTCAGTAACTGGAAAGAGCTGAGAAATACCCATTTCTTCTTATTTGTGGCACCAATGGGCAAAATAAAGCTGTGCAACCCACTATCTGAACTAAGCAGCATTTGAAGGGAGAAGTAGGTCAATACAAGGCAGAAGTGACAGTATTAAACCAGCTCTCAAGCAGTTCCTTCCATTTTCCTCACTCTGGGACCACACTACCCTCTCCTAAGGTTGGGAGGTGAAGCTTGGAGGCAAATGCTTTTCAGTGATGGAAGAGAAGGAAAAAGTGATTACATCACTCTCTTCATGTGGTGGGTAAGTGCATATACACATCTCAGCACTTGTCTCCCCTCCAGATATTCTACATGTAGAAGTCTGAGTAATCTTAAAAAATTAAATCCTAATTTATAATTCCCAAACCTAATTCCAGTGGCTGATGGTCCTGAGTTCTATAAGAAAGCAGACTGAGCAAGCCACGAGGAGCAAGTCAGTAAGTAGCACACCTCCATGACCTCTGCATCAGCTCCCGTCTCCAGGTTCCTGTCCTGAATTCCTTCGGTGATGAACAGTGATGTGGAAGCATAAGCCAAATAAATCCTTTCCTCCCTAAGTTGCTTTGATCATGATGCTTTATCACAGCAATGATAACCTCAACTCGGATAGCGGCATTTTCTGACTACTATCTAAATTACCCCTTTCCACTTGTCTTATCCTTATCAAAGCTGTTATAATATCATCAAACTGTCATCTCTATGAGCAAAGTGCTGTGGATAGCCTGCTCTCTGCTGAATCTTCAAAGCCAACTAAGTGATTTATATGCACCTTCTGATTTGGGACACACTGAATGAATGAACCTGTCAATTGGTCATGATGACAGTATGAAGAAAAAGCGACATAATAGGTAATTGTTGTTCATTTGTCACTGTAGAACAAGAAATGCAGCATAGAAGAGAAATGCAGCTTTGTTTTCCCTTCTCACTGAAGGAAAGAGAAGAACAGCAAGGGTGATTTCTACACCTGACTTCCCAGTGTCCCATCCCTTAACATTCAGCGGCTGCTTCATCCCACTCCATGGCCTCAATTCCCTATCCTCAGGAAGACATAAATGTTTGGGATGCTTGTTTTGGAGACTATTAAGTGTTGTCTTAAAGATATATCTTCTTGGTTTGAGGGTTTGAGGTTAACTGGGGGTCAATGCTGAAGATTTTAATATCTATAGGTACACTTGGGAGGTAGACACCTAGCGTGTACAGGACTTGGATTCAATTCTGAAGTTTGTGAGAAGGACATAAACACATGTTGTAAACAAACAGAATGGCATGTGGGTGTTCCTGAATCTGAACATGAAGAGCAGAGGCTCTGCCAACAGTGTGCACTCAGGTGTCAAGGATTTGAGTGACCGCAGCAGTCTTGAATTGAAGACTACACCCTAATCTCTAGATTCAGGTGATGACTTTGGGTTCTTTCATCTAGAAAACAGCATAGTACATTGACCAACTCCCACCTTCTAATTGTTTAGCAGCTTAGAGCTAACTTAATCTGACAGCTTTAAAGTGTCTCCTATCTGAAATGCTAAAAAACAAATCTACTCTTTCCACCATCAGGTACAGGAGAAGATTGAATCTACAACTCCAAAAATAACACCAGAACATGACTATGCTGTCACTTAGACTTCCAGTCTCCAGAATGGTGAGAAATGGAGGTTTGTTTGTTTATAAGGTAAGAAGAGAAGGAGGAGAAAAGTTGGAGAAATTCACCTGTATAAATGGAGTAAAAGGCATGGTCTAGGTAGAAAAGCATCTTAGATGACAATAATGGCATATACCCCAAGTTCTAACTACTCAGGAAGCTGCAAGAGGTCAGTAAGTTTAAGGTTGGTCTGGGCTACACAACAATACCTCATGTTAGAGATGAAAACATCTTAGAAGTTAATTGTTTTGATGGTCTTGACCCTTTTAGGGTCCAGGCTTAACCACCCTTTCAATGTGGTGAGGAATGTCATTCATTTAGATACTGGGGAGGGGACAGTGATGGTGGCTAGGGATATCCTCATTCTGAGGAAGAAGTTCCCTGGTTGATGTTGTGTGTATGCAAAAAATGGAAGAACCTCAGTGTTTCACTGGTACTTAAATAAAGCCCTTTCCTCAGTAGGTGTTGTAGATACGGAGGAACCACTACATCAGTGAAAATGTCCAAATCTATGCCTTAACTCTGCATTTCTTTCTCGTACTCTTTTTGCTTTCTTTCCTCCCTCCCTTCTTTCTTTTTTTCCTTTGTCTTTCTTTTTCTTTTTTCGTTCCTTTTCTTTTTCTTTTTTTTAGACAGGGTCTGACTATATAGTTCAGGCTGGCCTCAAACTCATAAAGATCCACCTGCCTCTGTTGAAATTAAAGTCATGTAACACCCCAAAGAAAGACTAATCTTTGGAAAACACAACTGGGAGTTGACAATCCAGATACAGCCAACACATGAACCTCCAGCTCTCCATCTCTGTTGTATTTCCTCTTTCCCATTCAAAACTTATAGATAATTTGATTCTGAATCATCAGGGTAATAGCACACCAGGGCTTCTCTTTCTTTCCCAGGTTTGTAGTTTGTGTTTAATACTATTTATATCATTAAATATTTGGACAGGTGATATGAATAATCATTTTGAAGCTTGGGTACATTTTGAATACAATGAATCTCTTCTCGAAGAGTGAGGTCATATTTTGTTAGTATTGCATACAATATTTACATGGGTTTCATGCTACATTAAAATTCTGGCACTTGTGTGTTTGCATTTTCATTAACAGAAGATAATAACTTCTATTGTTTCCTTAACATGGTTCACTCAAAGTTTTTGTTCTATTATGTAAAATAGTCAATTGTGCTGGTTCTGTCTATGCCCTGTGAAATAATCATTTCTATTTAAAACATCAAAAATCTAGCAAGCCGAACATGTACGTGACTGAGGATGGACTTTAGACCTACAATATAGTACTCCTAATCAAAAGCAAATGGATTATTTATTTATTTGTTTATTTAATCATTTACCTGATTATTTATTTATTTATTCATTCATTCACTCATTTATTTATTTATTTATTCATCTGAGCCAGTATCTCACTTTGTAGCACTACCTGTCTGGAACTCACTGTGTAGACCAGGCTGGTCTTGATCTCACAGAGATCAGCTGGCCTCTGCTTCCCAAGTCCTGGGATCAAAGGCATGGACTACCACATCTGGATAGTAAATGGAGTTTTTAAATTATTGAATAACTCCTTTTCACTTGATAGGTCCTCTGACAATCTGTTAATAATTCCTTAAAATTAATGACTTAGACCTAACTGGTTCCATTTATGAAGAGACTATCCAATCATTATAATTTCTTACTATGATCCCTTCATGACAAAGCCATATTGAGAAGCATATATTCTACCACAGGTAATAATATGTATATTAATATATTCTGACTGGAGTACTGGACAACTCATCAAAACTCATCCTGATGGTCATAAAATATCAGGAGTTGTCCTCCCATGGAAGAACTTACTCTGTTAAAGGGGAGATGAAGTGAGGGGGGGGCGTGGAAGGTGGCTGGAGAGAGGGAGATCAGGAGGAGGGATGAAAGGGGGATCTGTGCTTGGTATGTAAAATCAATAAAAAAGTGCAACAGCAAAAAAAATCAGGAGTTGATGCTAATTTTAAGGCAAATGAATGGAAGAAACAGGATTTCAAAGAGCAGTTAGCTTAAGCATGCTAACTTATAAAGGGAAACTAAGTGCCAACATTGGTTGAAAGTACCTGCATAAAATGCTGGAAAGATTATACTTATAAACATACTGGGATTTCATACTTGAAATAGTCCCTCTTTTGTTTTTGATGGTGCAGCTGCTTCAGCATGGGTTTAACAATCTTCCTCTATTTTGAAAATATTTTTAGATAAACCATCAATTTTGAAGAATAATTCAAGGATTGTTGGTTTTGAAAGTTCTTGTAAAATACTTTTCACTTTGAATTGCCAAGAAACAGCCTATTTCCAAAGCTACAACATAACCTCGTCTTTGCCAAGGAAATCCCTTTACCTCCAGAGAAAACAGTAATTTCCTTGACAAAGGCTGGCCTTCCATTTATTCTTAAAACACGCACATACTTCTCTTATTATGAATGGAAAATAGGGATATATTTGGTGTGAGAATCACAGTTGAATATATAAATGACTTCACATGTTTATATGAAAACATGTGGGTGGAATGCAGTCACTCTTACCTGTGGTACTCAGCCAACACTCATTACATCTGTAACTATGCAGAGCAGAAGAAATGAGTGATGATTGGCATGGAAGCACTCGATTACTGGGAAATGGTGTTAGGTTCATTACAGACTTTTTTAAAAATGATTTCTTTATTTTTATTTTATGTATATGACTGTTTCGTCTGCATGCATGTATGTGTGCCATATACATGCTTGGTGCCAGCGGAAGCCAGAGTAGGCCGTTAGGTCTCCCAGAGATGGAGTCAAATGTGGTTTTGAGCCTCCTGACCTGTGTGCTGGGAACCAAATCCACATTCTTTGCAAGAGCAGCACACACTCTTAGTCTCTAAGCCATTTCCCTAGTTCTCAAAGTCCATAACTTTCCACATAAAATTTTTTATTCTATCCAGGTCTCTTATTTAAAGAAAAAAACAAACAGTCATACTTTTCAAATATGTATAAGTAACAGGCACTTATATCCATTAACATGAATCTTCTAACAACTCTATAATTTAGTCCTTACACATCAAGAAGCCGAGGCCAGAGATTAAAAATTAGGTAGTACTAGGACTCAGACAAATGTGTAGAAAAACCCTAACACAGAGCCCAAATGAGAAATGAAAGGACACTGTCACTCGCACAGGGGTGAACAGGCTTAGGCGTGCTAGCTGTGACGATTTCACTAGGTTAAGAGCCCAAAGCATAACTAACAATAGTAACAGCAGCCTGTCTCATCAAAACAGAAGAACATTAATGTGCAACACCTTATTCTCCAAGGATGGCAGCTCATTCAGTAGCTCGACACTACTGAAGGACTCTAGCTCTTTATGGAGATCTGCTTATGTTCATAGGAACATAGAGAGCAAAGATCTGACAAACTGTTTTATATGCATTTATAAATGTTCTCTGCTATCCTCAGAATTAGATTCTTATATTTTTAGCACCTGAAAACTTTAGTAAGAACAACAACCATAATAACAACCAAAACCCACCTTTTTTTTAAAACTTGGCCATGTTGGTAATCAAAGGAATAAACAAAACAAAACAAACAAAAAACACTATTAAATTTAAACTAAAAGTCTCTTGAATTAAACCATAGTGGAATAGATCCATGATGCCTTTCTGTGGAAAGCAGTTAACTAAAAGCAGCTAGTATGGATAAGTTAATTAACAGGATTACCTTTAAGTCACATTACAGGGAGAGCAAAATGCAATAAGCTGTTGTTGCGTGAAAGAAATTTTAAGGGACTGCTAAGGCAGAGGCCATATGAGGCTGGTGACAGGGACAGAGGTAACACAGGGACAAACCAAGTGCCCTCACTGAAGTTTAAGGTGTTTAATTGCTACTTGTGACTTTACAATTAAACGTGTTTCTCTTAGTAGTTAATTTTCTAGGTAATGTATTCACATTCATTTTAGGTAGAGTTTAAAAATTTTGGGGGTAATAACTTTTTTTTTTTTCAAACTCAGTTTTCCAAAGTACAAAATTTTTAGTTAAAATTGTTTTCCCCGTTTCTTTCTTGGAAGGTGCTATTGACAGCAGGGGATGTTAAATGTTAGTGTGAGAGAAAGGAATTGAGTTAGGATGTCAGGTTAAGGGACTCTAGAACTCAGCATTCAAAGGTTGTCAGGGATACGGCGGTTCTGTTCTAATACATTGATCTCTTACATGTTCCCATTCTCCCACCTCAAAGAGCATTCCCCTAGTAGCCTTGCTGGGCTGTTCTCTGACCTCTGCTCTAATGTACTCACTCCTGGAGTGTTGTGGATAAGGTATTCAATGCTGGAGAACCTCCAACTAGTAATGTTTCCCTTAATATAGAATTAAAATCTTTCTTTGGAATTTGGAACTCACATTCACAGCCTCTTAGAAACATGTTCTACTGGCTGGTGGTTCCATCAAACTGCTGTTAGGAGGTGACATCTTTGTTTCAATCTATCAGGCACCGAGCTTAGGACATATGTGTTCTGGAGGACAGAACGGCCAGAGCTGTGCTTGTGTAAACATTACTGGTGTGGTCTTTTGAGTCCTATCTTTGACATATATTCAGGCACAGACAGAGACAAACGCACACACACATACATATACCACATACTCCTGTGCATGCACACACATAAACATGCACAAGCACACTCTTACACACACACATATATGCACACACATGCACTTACACACATGCATGTATGAATACATACATGCACACATTTACAGTAGTCTTAAATGGTACAGAATAAGAATTATAAAAAGCCAAATTTGACATATAGAAGTAGTGGAGTCAACATTGGAACAGCCAAGCTGCTATTTATAACCACATACCTGAAATTGCCAGGACTGTGTACGTCTGTTTTAATGGAATTGACTGCGTACTCTGGCCTGTAGGTCCCACACCACACCTGGAAGTATAAATAGGCAAAGGAAAACAACATGGAGCATTGTGAGTAGGTTGGGGGAAAAGCACAATAATTTGGCATTTGCATTCAACTATTTACTCTTCAAATGATGTTCAGTGAAAGGCAACCATAAACATAATCAATCATTCATAATGAACATGATCTGACAATCTTGTTGCAAATAATGGAAGTTAGTTAAGTCAAATGCTCCACCTCAATTAATTAAAAGAAGAAAACATCCTTTAATATCCAACTTGCTATGAAATTACAACTCAAAATGATTTTCACAATTATCAATCATGAAAGATATACTACCTGGGCAAAGTTCAAGAAGAATAGTTGTTTGTGATTGAGGTCAATTCCAGGGAGTAATTTTTCTTCACCATTCTTTTTAACATAATTCTGATAGGCCTAAGTAGTAAAATAAAAACATATAATTTCTAAATTTATATAAAAACCTATCATGAAAGACCATGTAACCAAGTAATTCACCTTCTATATCAAATCACTATACATTTAGATATGGCAGCCTGCAACTCTTTCATGGATTAGGAAGGAAACTAGAATGCATCTACAAATGTTCAGAAAGAATTAGAGACTCATTAGCAGATGACCACAGTCTGGCATGTCAGATGATCATACTACATGTCAGGTGGATGAAAGGATGACTTGAATACGTGATGAAAATCTTACCTTAATATTGTCTATGGATAGATGGGTAAGTCCAGCTCGCCTGGGGAATGGGATGCCAAAGGAGTCATCTGCAATTGCTATATTTAGCTTAGTTACTACTCTTGGCAAAATAGACTCACACTAGATTTAGTCTGAGTGGCTCTTGCCAAAAGTTAAGGGATCCTGTTGAGATTCCTTAGGGGCTCAGTGTCCTGTGGTTCTGAGGTGAAGGAGAGGCAACAAATCTGGTCCCCTTGATACAGGACAAAATAGACTAACTTCCAGTAACATCCGGAGAATGGCATTTTGGTCACCTGATTCTTAGAAAATGTTCTGAAACCTTAAGGATTTATATTCACTATTGAGAAATTTAGTTTTGCTTTGCTTTATGTTATTTAAAAATGGATAAACAATAAACTTTCTGAGACAGGTTATTTGCAATTTATTAAAGAAATTAAATTACATTTATTTATTTATTTGTGGGCGCACAAATGAATGTGTGCATACCATGGTGCATGTGTAGAGATCAGAGGACAACTGGCAGGAATTGGTTCTCTCCTTCTACCAAGTGGTGCTAAAGGATTCAGCTCAGGTGGTCAGGTTTGGTGGCAAATGCCTTTACCCGCTGAGCCAGTCAGCCCTTCCTAATTTATAAAGAACATCCATCAATTACATAAGTTAAAATGTATCTTATTTCTTTCTCTTTACCATCACCATAGACTAGTGAACCTTTACTATCTAAAGATTTTGGAGATAGAGGGGAGGTTTATGCCTCTTCCCACTTAGGGAGTACATGATCTAACAGAGGGCCAAGTCACTACATGCAAAGAGCTCATATAGTGTCACAAATATTTGTACAATTGCTCTTCCCTTTCCTACTGTAATTATCAGGCTGGTGTAGGTGAGTAGTAGGGCAGAGTCATCAAAGGTGCTAGTTACTAACACGGCCACTTCCAGTCAACACAGAGTGACAGGGACTGTTGCTGACTCAACAAAGAGATGGGCAAAACATATGAAACAATGTCCTGCATGACATTGGAAACCAGTCTTTAACGTTCCGTCTGACCAAAGAAGACTGTCCTGAAAGATGGTTAGTAACAAAGGGGAGTTCTGGAGCAGGCTTAGATTATTTCTCCATGAGCATTTATGCCATGGTGAAGGGAGAGGAGAGTCAACGGAAGTTTGGGGAGTTCTGAGTTGAAAAGTAATTGACGGCTTTGGGTTACACTGGCAAGGATACTAAGAAAGAGAAACCCTGAAAGAAGGTTCCAAGATCATAAGAGGGTGCCCTTGGATATTCCGCTTCATGTTAATCTGGAGATCAGCCCCAAAGGATTACAGACAGCAGTGCCTGGGCAGAGCACGAGAAGCATAGGGGCACTCAAAATCCACAGGGCAGGATTTGGCCTCAGTAGGGGGAATCAGTTTCCTCTAAACTAGGCATTATCCCAGTCCCAACTAACATGTTGTCCAAACATCAAAAAGGGAGCAAACCATTTCTAATGAATCTAACTATATCCTATGATAACTCTGAAGAATACTTATAGGAAATTGAAAATTATCCAGCATCTAAAGAGGCAAAACATACACTATTTGCCACCTAGTGAGAAATAGAAACATTAATTACCCAGCATTCAAGGTAGTAGCAATGTACCACCCCCAGTGATGGGCAGGGGCCTTTATCTGACTTCATCCCCCAGGCCTCATACTGGGATGACGCTTTGTTTTGGGTACACTGCAGGGCCATCAGTCATCTCTCTGTTTTGTTGTGATGCTTCAACTTTCCTGACCATCACCAAGGTTCTCTTCCCCTTTACCCTCAACATCCCAGTGATGACCAAAAAATCCTATTCAGTCCCCAGACATTCTACCCATCCCATCTGTGAAAACCTGGTTCCCTCTCATGGACACCTTATCCTTGTGTCATTTCAAGCAGACTGCTCATTCTCTCCTACGTGGGCAGCTTCAGGGTCAAGAGGTACACTCAAATTCATCTTCACTCCCCCTTGTTGCTTCTAAAAATATCATTTCTCCACCCTTTTGTGGAATTCCCTATTTTCCCTTCTACACTGGCATTCATTGGATCATCTTTTAATTCTTTCTCACATCCTCAATTACTGAAATCTTTTATGGAAGCTGTGTTGCTACATCTCTAGCCCCTAAAATGGTACTACAAACAACGCCAAGTCCTTAAAAGTCCTTAGGTGGAAGGACTGTAAGGGTCAAAGGACCCGGACACCTGCTGTACTATAGTGCCTTCTGGACATCACAGGGAAGCTGTATCCATAAAATCTAAACAGCATGGGTCCCTAAATAAGACCTGCATAACGACACTGCCAGCCAACATGCCTATGCATGGAAAATATTTCATAAGTCTTCACCTCAGATGAAGAGCTACCAGCAGTCAATGACAGCCTAGAGAGGGAGAATCAATTTCTACAGGGACAAGTCCCCTAATGAGTTATCCAGTTCCAAATGGTCAACCCTAACTAATATACACGTAAGCAGCACTAAAAGGACTCCGTAGTTTTTGCATGTATGTATGGATAATAGTAAATAAGAGGGTTATGAATCTGAAGGATAGTGGGGGGCACAGGAGGGGTTGAGGGGAGAGAAATGTATGAAAATGATGGAAATACAGTATTCCTATATGAAATCCTCAAAAATAAGTAAATAAAGTACTTGTTGCATGCAAGAATAAGTGGAAGGCTATGGATCTAATGAATATTCCAACAATAATAATTTTTGAAGAATAATAGTTGAACCAACTACATGGCCATATCCTGGAGCCATATCATGATCGGATCCCTAAGTGTTTCTCAGTGAGCAGACTGTGGCTTAATGTTATATCTTCAGTTTATGCTGGTTAGCATCTCTACAGGTTGCCCTACCTGCTGAGTGGAGGGTCTCATTCATACTGGTGAATGATCCTGAAATAATCACTTGCATGGACATATTTACTAAGAAATATACTCCAGGGATTATTTCTTAGAAATATTTTGTGTCTTCTACAGGTTTGTGCATCCATCTTCTCATATCTTCTGTTGGAATGTTGAGTGCTTCCTTTCTACCCTGGCTCCATTACATCTTGTCAATCTTATAGGCCCTTATGATGAGCATATATACAACCCTCTTGCTCTTCACATGATTCCCATTTCCCATTCTTCTCTTTTTGTTTATATGTGTCTCTTAGAAGAGGCTTTACAGAAATGGATAAATATGATAAATTAACATTCCCATCACTGAAGTGGGAGTACAGTGTAAATACTCACTCTGTATGCTTGGCCAATACCTCCATTATCAGCAATGTTTTCTCCTAGTGTATTAATTCCATTGAGCTGTTTAAAGAAAGATTCTCTATTAGGATTTTTATAGAAAGCACCAACATTTTACTTGTGATTGAATGTCTAAAGCTTTTCTGGGGAATACTGATGACATACATGCTGTCCACCTGCTAGGTCCCACGTAAAGTTTCCATACTGGTACACCATGCACTGGGATTGGTCTTTAAAATTATTTGCAGACTGCTGAGTCCACCAGTCAACGAGGTCTCCATCTTTGTTAAAATTTCTGCCTGTAATATATTCATTTAGTAAAAAAGGAAATTTGTTACGATAAAAATGAGAATAAGATTGGTCTTATGCTCTTTGTTATAATTGAAATTCTTGAAGTAGATTTACATGCAGTTGTAAGAAACAACACGGAGAGACCTCCTGCTCGCTGTTCCCACTCCTCAGTGGCATTTTGCAACACTATAAAACCATAGCAAGGATATCGACATGGATACAGTTCCTCCGTCTTGAAATCTTTAGTTTAATGTGTAAAGGACTAAAATACTACAGTGTGAGTGATCGTGGAATGAGGCAGACATTGAGAGAAACTTCTAACTCCCCCAATTCCTGTTTTTTTTGGGAAAGCTCAAAGTTGATCTGCCAATGTGGAATTGATAGGTATTTCATCCACTTGGCTTGTGCTACTGCAGATGAGGCCACTGGATAAACACTCCTGAAAGCACACCTTGCTTTTCTCAGTGTTTTCCATCTGAACCAAGACCATTTGATTTGACAGTTTTAGACTTTAAAAGGTCAACATCTTTATTCTTGCACCCATTTCATAGTCTCAGACCCTTTATGAAAACTAACTTTGTGTTTCTCTCTACTTTAAACACAAAGAGAAACATCCTTTTTTTCTCCTGGAGTTTTCTTGCTAGATTGAAATGACACTGATCTTTTCCTTTCTGTATCTCCAAATGCACTTATATACTTTATATGTTTTGACCTTTAATTTTATCATGTTTTAAATATTTATGATACAGTGGATAAGAAAAAGGCAATGAAACAAAATTTGAACTTACATGCTGATTCTACCAATTCCAGGTTTTATAACATTGCACAAATATGTCATATGCCTCTGTATGTTTCCATTTTTCAAATGGAAACATTATTAGTCAGTATTGGTTAAGACTGTTGTACTGACTAATTGAATTAACAGACATCTAGTATGTTCTCTTTAAAGTGCTATTCTTCTTCTCTCTCTGTCCTTCTAGAATTCTGTCCAGTTAACATTTTGTGAACTAAAACTTACTACAATTTTTGCTATGGCCTTTTTTACATATTTTATGTCTTTATTTTAATTTTGTTTGACTTTAGTTAAAACTGTAAGTCTTCTTGGTTATTTAGGGATGCATATCAACACTTAAGTGCCTACTGTTTACAAGGTTCTAAATTGTGTATTAAGTATAAGATTGGGAAAAAAAAGTTCCTGGCTGCAAGCAGCTTACGAGCCACAGGGAAATGGATAAGTGATGGCTTCTGACTTTATATCAAATGACCCTGCTCTCCATGAGCCTGGAAAGCTAAGAAAACACTCATAGTAGGACTGAGCATCATTTCTGATGCAGAACACTACAGTATTTACTCACTGTGAATATTTTCGTTAGTCTCTCAGACTGTAAAGCACATATTTTTCATCGCCCATTAACATTTTGAGTTTCTTAAGAAACACTTTAAATAGAACACCAACTTTGCAGTGAGACTTAGGTCAGCAACACGCTGATAAACAAATAGAGTTTTGTACTGATAAACTGTAACTCTTAAACTTAGGAAGATGTATTTTAGCCAAAGGAAAATGTTACCTATACTTTACCATTGTCATCAAAGCCATGAGTGATTTCGTGTCCGATGACCATGCCGATGCCCCCATAGTTCAATGAGTTGGACTGCCGGGCACTGAAGAAGGGGGGCTGCAAAATGCCAGCAGGGAAGACTGGCAGAGAGAAGACGGTGGGAGATTTGTGAAGAGTACCTGTGGCATTGTCAATGACGGCATCATGCTTGCTAACCTGTTTCCACTACGTCTGCTTCACTTAGGTAGATAACAAAAGTCTTGTGTGATAGAAACCAACACAGTCATTTATTATTAATGGTGGAGAAGTGACCGAGTCAGTGCTGTCCACGACCTGTGATTTATTCATCACAATTCAACTACCAATTTCTTTCAAGATTTTTTTTTCTACAAGGAAAATTTATAAGCTATACTCAAGAAGTTTTGTTTAAATATTTGGAAAGAAGAGCTACTCAATAATGCACATTTCTATTCAATGTTACCTCTGAAATTGTATCCACCCACAATTCTATCTAAAATAAACTGCCACTCAGTCAAAGGGGTCCCTCCATCATTTAACACTATTTTATTTTAACAGAGTTCCTGTGACTTCTCTAAATTCTGTTTATTTCCTAGTTTATAGTTGGAGTCCTTCTTTATCTGATTTGCTCATTTCTCTATCCTGGTACCCCAAAATCTCAGCCCTGTGAGATCAGAGATTTATGTGTCCATACACATTTACCCATGTATTCTTTAGTTCATTTGCTTTTAAGGTCATTATCTCTAGACCCCATAGCCAGACAGTGCTTGGAATGGAATTAGTACCCAGAAAAATGTGCTGACTGCATAAATAATCAATTATAAACAAATGGATATGTATTTTTCATAGACTAAGATGCCTATAGAAAGTTTGGTAGGCATGAAAAACTCAAAGAATAAGATTATTTTAGTTAAAAAGTTTGGTAGATAAATGAATAGTTCTTTTTATGACTGTCATAACACATGAATTAAGTTGAAAACTTTTTCCATTTTTATGTCTCGAAAACAATTGAGTATATCAAACAGCAAACACTTTCCCCCTCCTAGTTATCAGTCTCTTGCCTATTATTTTTTTCTAACGGCAATTAGGAGAAATGATAGTGTCAACAGAGTGCAACAGTGAACCTCTTCTATTGTTCTCAGGTGCCTCTTTTCCTTTACAAGGTTTGCACAGCACATGTAGGCAAAGACCAGGAGGTACACTGTTCTTCCAAAAGAACTGGGAGTTTGACAGTACATCTTACCTTACACTTGTTCCTCATGTCAAGATCACTAATTTCCTAAGAGATGTTTTCACTTCCTGCCTGACCTGTAATCTATCCTAATCTAATCTACCCTCTTATTGTATTCTGTAGCCAGATTAAAGTGCAGTCATGGTCATTATTCCTTTCCTGCTAAGAAACTTTAGGAAGTCATCATTGTTTTGCGGTCAAACAGCATCCTTCTCCTGAGCCTGCATGTCATCATTCTTTCCTGCTTCTCCTGGTGCCTAACAGTCACCCCTTGTCTAGTCCTTTGCATTGTCTTCTTACGATAAATGTACCTGCTAAATACTCTTTCTGTAAAATGCACTAATGTGTCTCAATCATTTTTCCTTGGGATACATTGCCTCCCTCTATTTAATGTAAAGGGACCACTGTTTTGGGCCAATGATGTCTAGAGGAAGTTAACCCCTGACTTTAGACATGAATGAAGATGGATTCTTATAATTCAGTAATTTTACCTTTCCTATTTTAAAGTTCTAGTACCACTAGGTAACTTCAGCACTATGTTCTGGAATCGATCAAGAATGGTATGTATTACGAGCATATATTACATGCAAAATTCTGAGTCTTGCCTTTACAGGATATCAAGAATATAAGTGAAAGGCCTTGACATTCAGTAATTAAAAAAAGAAGAGAAATTTAAGGTCTATCTAACACAATGTAGCAAATATTTTTCTTTTAGACATGGTAAATATGACCTAAGCTTTCATGAGCTTCCGGGATAAAATATTAGATATTTACAGAGGTGACTTTAAAAACTCTAAGCAATTTTGTTCTTTAGATCTTTCAATATGTTGGAAAGTTGCCACTGTCTATCATTTTCAAATGATAAAATAATAAAAATAGACCTTTGCCCTGGAGAACTTGGGTAAAAGTAATAGCTCACATGTATCTGCCTGAGCTAAACAGTGCCAAGAGATTATTTTTAGCTGAAAGTTACACAAATTATATGCAGTACTTTATTAACTTAAACTGAGTATTCTCTCCCACACTATGTACTTCGATTAAAATCTACCCATTATATAAAATGCTCTTATGAAATGTGCTATCAAGGCTAAACATTAACCACAGAGATGCAGGTGACTTAATTACAGCCTTAGATTCCATTCTTCAAATAAGTGATATGATTTTTTTATGGCTCATATTAATACTGATCTTCAAGTTTAGCTTGGCAGATGATGAGCTCCTTTAACTTGGTCATCTCAAATTTTTCTCGGAGGATTTTTCTCCAATAAGCTCATTGCTTTACTAGCAAACATCCCAGTGTTGCTAGTCACTGACAGGTCACTTCATGGCTGCCAGCAAGCTGGCCAATTAAATATGTCATGTGACCACAAAACAAAAGATCACTACTTTTCTTCTTCCCTGTCTGCATTCAGACCCCCACCCCAGTAATTGCCCCCTGATCTTTTGAAGATTTCAAGCAACTCAACTTTAAGATATTTCAAGCACAGCTCAAGTTTGCAGTCAGGTACAATCTGAAGGTGAGTCAATACCAGATCTGGCAGTGTCTAGGGTCCTTCCTTCACTTAACTCGAAATGAAGCTGTGCTGTATTCTCCCTAAGGTAGTAATAAATGTCTAGCTGCCTCATTTCATGCTGGAAAACAATTCTGCTAATAGGGTTTCAATGCAGAATGAACTAGATCTCATACTGACAGAACTATGCATATTAAAAAGAGGGGCAGACTTGGGGAGTGGGCTGAGAATGCTGCTCAGTGGTAGAGTTTATGTTTATGATGTGCAAGGCCCTAGTTTCAATCTCCATTCAGTCTCCAGAAAAATCCATCCATCCATCTATCATCTATCTATCTATCTATCTATCTATCTATCTATCTATCTATCTATCTATCTATCTTCATCGTCATCATATTTTGAGATTCCAAAGTGAAGAACCTCTCTAGATAAAGGCATTCTGAGGAAAGTTGCTGATTGGTTTTATAAATGCATTATACTATGATGTGTGATGATATAGGTGCTAGGGAGTTGATCATCAAACAAATCTCGTCTAGTTTGAAGTAATCTTTCCTCTTTTCATAAAACATTAGGCTAGACTTTGAGCTAATTGATTTTTTTGCTTACAGGCACATCTTAGTTATTATCTACATGCAATATAAAGATAGCCTTTCCAGATTCCTTATGTAATCTGTTTTCATATCACGTACCAAAGTAAATTACAGATAAAGTTTTACTTCAAAAATAGAAGCCATAAAAATACTAAAAGAAAATGTAGACAATGTCTTAATATATCTCTTCTTAGGCTTAAAAGCATGGAGGAAGTTGTACTTAAACTTCAAAATAAAAAGACATGCTTTAAGATTTGTTTTTTAAGTAATGATAAGTATCTTTAAAGGCTTTTAGTAATTTCTATTTCAAATCAGTAACAGATTTCAAAAAGGTGAGGTTTAAAACACACTTAGAGATATAAAAAGAATAGTTTAAAATAATGCTGAGATTATCATTCCTTAATTCTGGCCACACTTCGATATAAAGGCCTAGACTGAGTCCCCTTGGAGAAGCCTGCTTCATGGCTTTAGTGTACTTCTGCCAGTGTCTGTTTGGTGTCTGTCAACATGGTAAAAACTCTTGGAAAAAAAGGGTCTGTTTATATGATAAGAAGGACAGATTTCAAATATTCCCAGGTTTACCCAGGAAGAGAGAAAACATATCTTTGCCATGTCAAGTTATTCATTTATTCATCATATTATTCATACATGTGTTAATTTTCATCATAGTTTATGTTATTACTCTTAGTGCAACAAAAGTTATTTTTCTGTTTTGAACAAAAGCAGCTGGGTAACATAATTTTATATGGTAAAGTCTAATCCAGCTGTTCAGTTTCCTTTCTTCTCCTGTGATGCACACCATGACCCAAAGCAACTTACAGCAAGAATGGATTTATCTGCACTACACTTCCTGGTTATAGCCTATCACTGAGTGAAGTCATGAAGAATGCTGCTTGATGGCTTGCTCACTCAGACTCATGCTTTGCTTATTTCTCATGTAGCCCAGGCTCACCTGTCCAGGGATGGTACTGTCTGTATTACACTGGCCCCACCTATGCCAATTAACAATCAAGGCAAACTCCCCAAAGTCTTATCGCCAGGCCAAACTCAAATGAGGTTTTCCACTTGACTCTAGTCTCTGTCAAGTTGGCAACTGAAGCTGACTGGGGCACTGGGTTTTTGGTTTTTTTTTTTCTTCAACCCTCTGAATTCCTTGGAAGCTTTGGATAAAGAAGACAAAGAATAGGAGAATCTCTGCTAGACAGGCTGCTTACTGAATTACCAAGAGACCTGGGTCTATGAAGAGTTGGCTCTTTGAACCTCCACTAACTTTAAAGGGCTGATGCCCAGTAACTCCAAGAGTCAGTATAATATTAAAAGAAAATTTCAAAGAGCACATGGGAATAAGATAAATCATTTACATTATAGATTGGATGTTATGCAAGAAACAACTACCCAATGTGATTTGTATTAATTTTTATTTTCCTATTACAGTAAAAAGAGGTACATGAATACTTCAAGAAGTGAAACAATCACTCAATATCACCTTTACTTTTACTTTTAGGGGAGTATTAAAAGTTGGCCATATAGCAAACAGAGGCCTGAAAAAAGTTGAGGAATGCTAAAGAATTATTTAGGAATATACCTTACCTATCTGATTTCTGCCTGAAGAGTAAAATGCATTGACTACAGCTGCTCCACTTATCCACCTATGGAAAACATAAGAACTTGTTACAAAAGATACTCCATTACCTCATGCAATCTGCTTACCACAAAAACAAATGTGAAATATGATCAACAAATTAACTTTGGCATACTATAATTTAGAGTCATTGGAAAATATTTCTATTCATTGAAAATTCAACATATATCTATGTCTACAATCTATTATTTCATTTGCATGGATTTTTGTGGAGGTATGTGGTGGTACAAAATTTACAACATCTTTTCAGAAACTGTAGTAGGTTCAAATTATATTGAAATGTACTTGGCTTTATGCTTTGATACTAAATTGTCTCAACAATTCTGGAACAGCTGACAATATATGAAACAAAGGTTAGGAAAATTTCAGATTCAAGTAGCTTTTAAGAATTCAAATCTTAGTTTATACTGAGCTTCTTTGGAAGCTCAGAGATCTTATCTTGGAGCAATGAACTTCAAATTATTGCTCTTTAAATCTTGTTTTAAAAATGCAACATTGGGAAAGATGGTGCAGTGATTAAGAGTAGGAATTGCTCTTTCAGAGGAGCAGAGTTCATTTCTCAGCAACCACACTGCGCAGCTCGCAGGTGACTGTAACTCCAGTTCCAGGAGATCTGATGCTTCTGGCCTCTGAGGGAACCTGCACCTGTGTGTACGTAACACACACACACACACACACACACACACACACACACACACACACATACACACACACACAGACATACACGATTAAAAATAAATCAAATCTTTAAAAAATGTTTATAAAAAGGCAACATTACAGCTAATTGAGAAAAGGTGTATTTTCATTTGATTGTAAAGTAAAATCCAGGTGATCTTTAAATAGAGTTGTCTGTTAGTCCATACCATGACTTAGATTCTGCACAGAATCTAGAGTTTATAAAACACAGGCTCTAAATACAGAAGACTAGTTTAGAAAATGAGAACTATTCATAAATAATTGTTACACAAGAGTGCATAAGTAAATTAAAAACAACAAAACAAAACAAAATACTGGTCTCATGATAATTTGAGGACTGAAAGAGAGGAGCTATTCTCATGTCTTCCTGCTTAGACACTATGGAAGATACCTGTCAATCATCATATACTAAGCACATCCGAGGAACATAAATATTATTCCACTCTTCATAATCTAATATATGTGTCTATTGAAAATGGACACTGCTTGACCTCAGATGACCTCTTAATGTTAGCATATCCACATACACTTAAGACAATCATGGAGCATTGTCTTAAGGCTTCACTAGTTATTTTTACTTCAGGGCAATCATCCTTCTAGTAGCAAATCACAATAGTACAATAATTCCATTTATATCAGAGCTCTCTCTAGTCTCTGCTGTGCCAGGTAAGCAGTACAAAGCCAACATATTAGAATGTCAGTAACTATTATGCATGTCAGGCACAAGCATTGTTTTAGCTTCTTAAAAATAAATGGCCGAGACCAATATGTAACAACCACCTGAAGATTTGTTATTTTTTCAATAACACGATTAAAACTTTACATAAAAGGATACATGACTTTACAACAATCTCATTTATATTTTTATGAACTTCTCTTTAGGAAAATAATGAGCCTGGAAATGGTGAAGAATAGCTTCCACGTGTGGTTCTGTTAGTCTGTTACTTCTGTTACTTTAAAACAGCAAGACATTTTAAGCAGGTTGGGGCTCACATACCAATCCTCCCTAGCTTCATCAGAGCTGAGTCATGAATATTTTAGCATTTCCTGCAAGTTGATGATTACAAGAATACATCTTGTTTGTTTTAATTAAATGCCATTTGCTTACTACACAGTTTGTAAATGACTTACGTGAAAGGCAAGTATTTGTAAGCCCAAGATATTAGATTAAAAGAGAGAAACCAGAGCTGCACAGAACAAGTGGGTCTCATTTATGTGACTAACAAAAAAAGATGTTTGTATAAATAAGCGTGGTGATGAGGGAAGTGATGTATTTAGATTACATTTGCATAGGTTCACAATGGTACCATGATGCAGGGTCAAGTGAAGTTCTTTGGAGCCAGTGAAAAGGTCAAGGATGATGTGCTCAGATAATTCTAAAAAAACACTGTTGCACAATTTGAAAAATATTCCTGGTGTATTCTCAAAACTTTCATAGTAAATGTGGTAATAAAACTTATAAGTAAATGGTTTACAATTATTAAAAATTTTTAACCAAATTTATTTATGAATTTTTCCTTGTCTCAGGGGCTGTAGGGTAAATTTCGTAGTTGCAAATTCTGAGTTGGTGGCAATAGGTGTGCAATTTGTGGGTAATTACAAATAATCATTATAAATTATTTGGATCTGAACTAATTATTTAAGATGAAATGTTATACTGAGGAGAAAAAGCAGATATCCTAAGCAAATGCTTCAGATGACACACTTCAGAATGTGACTAGAAGACACAGACATAGAAAGATGGACTTCATAGAACATTGCCTGCTTAGGTTTACTGCTTTTGTGGATGTAAGTGCTATCCCTTTTACTGCAGCGCCTTTCCACCCTTCTGAGACATTACTTTAAGGAGTTTAAGATTGCATTTTGATTAATGTTTTTAACTCTCCAGCAGGGAGAGTTTTACATATTAAAATGTCTACTGTGAGTTATATCTTCTAGAACATAGGTGGCTATTTATGATCATGGAACACTCCTATAAAGTTAGAATTATGGTGGTGGGGTTTCCTGAGCACCAGTGGGTAGTGTTTTGTTTCCCTCCCTCCTCAAAATCTTTTATGATGTGTCCTCAGTCCACTCTGGAGAATCATGCAAATTCAAAAGCCTGGGGCATTTTGTCCCAGGTCATGATCAGAACTTGAAGTTCTAGAATTATACCAAACGTTACATCTTAAGTAGGGTAGTGATAACAGAGACAGATTCAGTGTCTGATACTTGTGGTCAATTATAAAATACCCCAAATACCGATGGAAAAGATAATGAGGCAAATGAAATGTTTTTAAAATTTCATAGCAATGTAATGAAAATTCTAAGTTCTTTTGATTTCAGTTCATTTATAAAGATGGAGACGCTTTTATTTGTAAAACCCAGACAATGCTGACCATGACAGCAGCACTTGGGAGCGAAAAGGCACAGAGAAAAGAAAAGTAAAATCAGAAACAAATGGGAGTGTTATTGCTCGAAAATAATGGCTACTGTATGCTGCCTGGAGACACCTTCCAAGTGTGCAGACCAGACCCTAGCAGCCTCTGACACGGAGTACTAGACCTGAGAGAAGAAGCAGAACACCGAGTTCTCCTGTTCTCTTCCTGCCTTGAGTGGTCTATGTGTGTGTGTCAGCATGGGCTGTGTGGTGGGAAGGTAGAGTGGGAATGGAGGAAGTAGCTGAGAACTTTACTTTTATATAATTATTATAATGTAATTTTAATTTCTGAAATGTTGTCAGGTAAGCTAATTTGTTTTGAATCATCGACTTGTCCTCAAACAGGACGTATACCTGAAGTACACTTGCGAGAGGAGCCAGATGTTTGCCTTCCACCTCTTTATACCCTGAGGAAACCAGGTTGTGATGAAATGAAGGGACACAGACTTTATGGCAGGTAAGAAAAGCAGACATGAACAACCAAATTCAACAGCCTTAAAGATAAAGTGAACCCAGTGGACTGCAAAAACACTTAGAATAAACCTCTTTTCAGTCACGGAATTTAAAGCTTAAAATAAAGAACAAGACCATTAATGCCCTTCTCCTTGGAAGTGTTCAATTCTTAGCATTTGTGCTGAAAGCAACTCCTTTGAAATCAGCAGTACAATAAATAGATTTTTGTGTGTGCCTTCTTCAAGTATTTCTGAGTGAAAGGAGAATTCTCTTGAAATCTCAGATCATTACAGTCTTTTACACTTATTTTTTTTCTCCAATTCTTCCCACATACTCTTATTGATCTTCCAGATCGTCCTGACAGTATTGATGGAACGTCCAATCTGTATGTATGGAAACTGAGTCACTACATGGTTACTAAACTCAGTCCTAATGCATGTACACACTAAGTGATGGAACAGGAAAATATATTTAACTGAAAGGGGAAGATGGTCTGCTTGCCTTCCTATCAAACCCCACCACCAACCTGCTGATCCACATGACATACAAATTTCAGCACAGCGATTAATGTCATTTTACTGCCAATATAGAGAGGACCTTTTCGCTTTCTCTCCTACTTATCCCTTTCTTTTCATGGCAAAAGCAGATGTTATGAACCAAATTTAGACAAAAGAAAGAAAAAACAAAAACAAAAACACAACAACAACAGAAAAAAACCCCACTACCACCACCACCACGAAAACCAAAGCTCCGAGGCTAAGCTTACAGAGCTAATGAGTAAGTAGAGCAATCCTAATTTAGGTCTGCCCAGTCCCCACAACCTCCCAGCACCCCCGCCACCTCACTCCAGTTCCACAGCTCACACTTTTTTCTTATCCCAGACATAGCACTTCAAGGCCTAAACAAAAATACAGAACTAAAGACCTTCTCCGAACTTTGCATTTGAGTAGTGACTGTAAATAGGGTAGTCAGTGATTGAATTTGTCAGAGGACCAAGACCCTCCTGATACTGAATTGGGAGAATGCACTTTCCTGATGTTAAGTAATCCTGAGAACGTCTAGGAAAGAACCCAAACCTCTTCTATTCCTTGTAACCCTCTGTACTTCCCTGACTTTACATACATGAAGTGTCTGTCCAGCTGATTAGAAGGAAGCTTCACAGGTAGTGACAGTTCATGTTTTATTTTTAGCTTGAACCACTAGGACTTAGCACACTGTTGGGAACCTGATAGGCACTCACGGAATACTTAGGCCTATTAATGGCTGCTCCACAGTGCTTCACCAAGGACTGACCCAGCTTGCCCTGTGACCTGGGAGGGTGAAGGGCATTGCCGTTCTGCAGCCATAGAAGCTGTGGCATCTAGAGCAGCACCCCATCTGAGCACGGTCCTCTCACGAGATTACACAGAGTGAGGGTACCAGACTTCTTCTGAATTGTCCTCTCCAGCTAAATGGAAATATGGGACATTTGGATCCTATACTGTGGTCTCTAGGTTTCTACTGATTTCAGTTTGCCGTCATCTGATTAGCCCAATGAGAAAACCCAGCAGGCATGAAGTAAGGAAGACATCCCGTGAGTCAGTGATTATTGTTTTGTTTTTAGTCACTACTCAGATCTACTCATTAATCTAACTTCTAGCTGTTATTCTCAGAGAATGATTTACTGTTCAGTCAAAAACAAAACAAAACAAAACAAAAACCCCAACCTTTCACCTCATAAGGAAGCCTTGCAGTTTTGTTGTGCATGAACACACAGGCCTTGAGGTTTATTTTTGGACTGTTACCTCTCAGTGAATAATAATGTTAGTACAAGTAAATGATTTTAGATGTGTTACTAAGTACACATCTTGCCAACACTCACACTCCCAGTTCAGTGATATTTTTCTCTGAACTGGACATGTTTGAAATTCCTTTGCAATTGCACCAAAACCCTCAGGAGACATCACATTCTGAGCAAAAAAAATTATGCATAGACATCCAGAAACCATATGAAGTTTTAAAATTATTAAAATTCCTGTTCTTTGCAGGTGTGAGCTATTCACAAGGGCAAAGGGAGGCCCTTTAGCCAAATGATTAACTTGGACATATCACATATACACTCCTTGAGATTAAGTTTTAAAAATTGTTTAGCAGAAAATAGCCACAGTGGTGTATGTCTTCACCAGCTGTGGGGGTAAAATGTGGAGATGGAGGCATTTTTATTGTATCTGCTGAATTAACTTTGTCAACAAATTGGCTATTCCATTTGCACACTCTATTGCCATGTATGAAGGGCCCACATTCTATTAATCGATGTTTTTGACATAAGTACATAAGTGATTTCCTTTCTACACAAATGAGTTTCTTAAGCAGCATCAAACTGTACTGGGGCTTTGTCAGTTCTGTGCGGGTGAAGAAAAAGTTGCCGAGGTACAACGAATAAAGAGACAACGCTTAAGACAAGCCGTGTAGAGGTTCCTGTCAGACAAACAAGAGGAGAAAGGCTGCTACAAGCTGGGTGTGGTGGCGCACACCTTTAACCCCAGCACTTGGGAGGCAGAGGCACGAAGATCTCTGTAAGTTTGAGGCCAACCTGGCTTACACAACTCCAGGACTCCATAGAGAATCCCTGTCTCAAAAGACAAGCCAAACAAAACAGGATGCTGCAAGTTCACAAGCAATGAGGGGAGGGCAGAGGGGTGGTTTGGAAGCATGGCACACCCCTGGAGTGTTGGACTGAGGTCGGAGTTTGGGTGACTATGAAGGAATTCTGGAGAGCTATGGGAACTTTGGACCTTTTCAAGGGTTCATATTTCTTGAGCTAAGCAACAGGAATCATAAGAAAGGATTTGTCCAGAAAGAACATGACTCAAGCTGTATCATCAAGACCCTGGAGGATAGCAGTGTGAGGATGAGGTGAAAACATGAGATAATTGGTAATAAAAGTTAAAAAAATGAAAACAACAGAGAAAAATGTGGTAAGAAAGCAAAGTGGAGAAGGGTAAATGCAGCCGTTTATATATTCCCGTGTAATATTTAATTAGCAGCAGGTGAATGCAGTCTTTTTTTTTTCTTCCAGATAGAGCACTATCAAGGAAATAGATAAGTTCAGAGTGATCAAGACAAGGCCCTGGTTTCGATCTGGGTGGGAATAAGATAGAAGCTTTTAAAAAAATAGTCAGATATAAGAAACAAGATTAATTTTTGCCTAAGTGGAAAATGTTGGGCTTGTGTGGTTAATGATATATTCATATAGAAATGCTTGCTAATCAGCTAGATATTAAGTGTGGAGCTCAGCAGATGGATCTGGGCCAGATTCAAATACTCAGATGTCATAAGGATAATAGACTTCAAGAAGTAAATGCATGTACTCACTAATTTTAATTGTAACTAAGCTTGGGGTTGGGTGCCCAGAATGGCTCCAGGTCTACAGGGCTGAAAGTCATAGAAGAAGACCAATCTAAGTAACTCCATGGGTTTGAGCACTCAGCACATATGCTAGTTAATCTCTGGGTATTACCCATTGAGTGGAAAAACAAAGGTCCAAAGTAATAGTCATCACTGCTCCAGAATGGACAATTAGAAAGTAGATATACGCACTCATCTTTGTCCACCTTTTCTCGGAGCTTCTTCAGCTGCTTGCTTTGGCTGAATTTCAAATTTTGAATTATGTTCTCAAAGTATTCATCTTCCTTGTAGTTCAACTGCATTAAGTAAAAGATTTGGGGAGAAATATTAACGCCAGCCTCATCATGGTATTTCTAGAAAACAAATATATATTATACTCGTCTGATCTTTCTGATAATCTTGTTACCTAACAGCTGAGGTCAGCATTTGAAAGTTGAAGAATGTGAGGTGGAGATATTTCTGGTCATTTGCTAAGGTTTAAAAGATTAATAGAACTGGAATTTGGGGCCCAGGTAGTTAGCTTTGAGTCCAGCTCTAATCTCAGGTAATCCACTCTTGTAGCAAAAATAAACAAATAAAACAACAAAACCTAAGATAACTAATTTCTTCTGTAAATGGAAAACAAGGAGTGAGCATTTTGGTGTGTAAACCTCCACATCCCACTAGTACTTGGTGGATCAGCCATCACTGTCATCTCAGACCTGGTGCATGTCACCTGTTGTGACCAGGGTGTCGTGTCATGGTGGTGGTCACAGGACAATAATGAGCATTTCAGCCAAGTCTGATCACAGGTGCAGAGTGGCAGAGTCACCTCTTTTAACAGTTACACTACCAAGGAGAGTTTAAAAAAATGGTTCTCAGTTATATTTGGTTTTTAATAGAAGGCGCATACTGTGTAAAACACACAGGCATAGTGATTAGAAAGCAGAAAGCTTTTTGACTTTTGTAGCCCATGTAAGCAAATGGAAGGACCTGTGAGCAGCCCATTACTCATTACTTAGATGTCTACCCCTGATGCTCTAAAGCAATGGCTCTCGACCTTTATAATGCTGTGACCCTTTAATACAGTTTCTTATGTTGTGGTGACTCCCCCCAAAACCATAAAGTTTCTTCATTGCTACTTCATAACTATAATCTTGCTAGTGTTATGAACTGTAATGCAAATATTTTTGGAGACAGAGATTTGCCAAAGGGGTCACAACCCACAGGTTGAGAAACACTACTCTTAAAGGATGCAAGGCTTTTCTCACCACTATTGTAATAGATAGAAACCAAACACAGTCTTGTACAATGACAAGAAAGGTTAAATTAAACATAATTTGGGTATTCATGTTTTAGATATCAATAGTAGGATCTACAGTTTTAGACTATTTTACACAGTGTTTGGCCTTCCTGAGCTACAGTGACATTGCCACCAGCCCCACATATCACTGCTGAGACTTACCTCAAGGTACTCATTATTCAGTTTGTTATCATTGGAAATGATGTCATCAGGATAGCCAATCCTTTCTTTAATTGCTAAGGCCTGTGAAAATCACAACATTGGAAGTGGAGATACAATCATCTCCATAACCACAACCTTCAAATACAAACATCAGATGCCCACAACCAGCAATTAAATAAGCCTGACGTGCCATTTACAAAAGGAACACCTAACAACACTCAGCTGGTGTTCTTTGCAGTGCCTCTTTGCTTTAGTTTAAAAAAAAAAAAAAAAAGTAAAAACAGACGTGAAATTTAGCACCTAATGCCCTGTCCGTCTTTCCAGGCTGCAGCTTTCCCATAGAAACTGACAAAAGCCATTGCTCCACATGTAATGTATTTTTATGAATTTTTTTTCTCTCCAGACTTTTCAATTTTATTGAAGGAGTAACATTTAGTGCTCCCAATCTTGCAGGATATAATTATCTTTCCACTTCATTGGGTCGGCTGAGAAAACAGATAAGGGCTCCACAGGCTTTGTGCTAATGCACTCCTGAATGCTGGTGCCTGCAGTCTTTATGTTCCCCTTCTTCCCCAAAGTCAGGGCAGCTCTTCTCAAGGGGAATGAATGGCACTACCAGCATGAGCGAGAAGTGGGTTTCTTTGTCATCCACCTCATATTTGTCCACTGTTTATTACTAGCTTTCTGTTATCATTTAAGTGTGTTTATGGTAAGCATCCCATTACTTATTTCTGTTTACTGCTCCCCCACCCCACTCTGAGACATTCTCTGGTTGTCCTGGAACTCACTGAGTAGGCTGGCTGGCTAGTGAGCTTCAGGGATACACCCATCTCCCCATTCCCAGCACTGGAACTCCAGACGTGTGCCACCCCACTTACTGTTGTTTTTTAACCTGGGTTTTAGGAATTGAACTCAGGTCCTCAGGTTTACAAGGCAAACATTTACCAACTGAGCTATTCCCCCAGCCCTAGACTTACAGCTTTTATGGGAATTTGGATTATTTTTTCCTAAATATTTTTAAACTTCGTCTTTTCCTATAAACAGATTATCTTTGATGGCCCTGGATGGTCCTTACCTTCTCTTCAGCTTTCTTTTTTGTTTCTGCATCCATCCAGGTGAGCTCATCTAAAGTCTGAATAAAAACTTCCCGGATTTGTGCAATCAAATCTTCAACCTCAAAGCAAAAAAGAATATTAGCTTATTAGTAGTCTAATATAGAAATACAGCCCATGAATCCATTCCTCATTGCTACATGATGCCTTTAAGGTTGCAATAGCATGTTAACACACGTAAATTTACAGATGACTTGTGATCCCAAACAAGTGGATGCAAAAGAGCATAAGGGATTATTATGCTAAAGCAATACTGCTATTGTTAATTTCTCCAGTTAATAGGCCCTCCCATAGCCCGGAAGATAAAATCATCTTCAGAATGCCCTGGTTCTTGCTATCGGTTTAGAGGAATAGAACCTTAGCTGTCACTGTCTGTCACCAGTGCTTCAACTAAGCAAGAAGTAGCATTTCAAAAAATTGTTTTACTATGCCACTAAGTCCCATTGTCTTAATTTCAGTAGCAATCAGAAGATAGGCTACGCTTCTCAGAGTTCAAATAAACTGTACTTGTTAAGGAAATGGTCAGTCAGGCAATAGGAGACTTTATAAGACTAAAGTCTTATGTATAAAGTCTTTATAAGACATGGGTGTGGACACTAAAGTCACTGCTTCCAGGAAGCAGATAAGCACTTCCAATCAAACAATGTGAAGGCAGAGACATAACCATATATTGGGGGTTATGAGGCAAAATCTGTTGAGAAAAGTGGTATTCTATGATTCATAGTATCATGCCTAATTAATAAAAATTGAGCAAAGATGCGAACAATTGCAACTGCTAATCAAACGAATGAACTTTCAGGATGCTACTTAGATGCTGATGCGCTGCGTTAAAACATTACCACATGTTTGCTCTCTCCAGCAAATGCTGCTTCCACATAAAGCCTCCCCACAGCATTCTCCATATTCCCATTGACATAGTTAGCGCACCGTCTCCATGTTGCTGTTTCTGATGTAGTGCCGTAAAGGGCCTATAAAAGAGAAAAGGAAAATGGCATCTCACTAGGAGCCAGGGATGGTGAACAGTAAGAGCATGCAGTCTGCAAGGCTAGTCTTTATGTCTGGCTTAAGTTCCTGCAGTCCTCACTGCTTCTTTTCACAGAGTAGTGGTCCCTCAGCTACGATAAAATGTAATCTGACTGGATTGTTTACTTTAAAAAAAAATGGGCTTGTGCAAACAAGGTATCTCTTCAGAGGCATGTCCCAGCAGAACTTTTAGCTATTACAAGTTAATAACCTTCAGGAAAGCTTTGGGAGAAAAAAATACAACAATGTGCCCACTATACAAACATAAACGTGAAGAAATGTTCAATAAAGGAACAGAAAGGAAATCTTAAACACAAGAAAACACATTTTTCCTTCTAATGTTTTAACTGAAGTTCAGGTACTATAGGAAAACTGTGTGTATATAAATTTTAGTATCAATAAGGGGGTTGGCAATTTACTGAAATAACATTTTTTTTTGCCGTCTTTACTTATTTACTTATTTAACACAAAGTCTCATGTAGCCCAGACTAGCCTCAAATTCACCATGAATGATGCTGGCCTTCTGATCCGTTCCACCTCTCACATGCTGCGATTACAGGCGTGAGCTACCATGCTTGCTGTTTTATTTATTGGCTTTTTAGAAAGAGATACTCAAGCATTCTTGCAATTCAGCCACATCTCAGCCCTGTGTTAAAGTTTATCAATTCATTTTTAGTGGAGAAACTGGAACTTTCAACCAGTTACTCCTTTGCCAGAACAACAGCTGGTATATTAGTTTTCCTTTCTCGGCTCCTACTGTCCCCTCTCTTAATACCAGGATTGAATGATTGTGTAGATAATGTATCTGCAGCCTAAGAAAAAGCTTTGCGGCTCTAGCTTCAAGTTGGTGTTACTCCCTACAGAATGTCATCACAAAGAAATCTGTCTTTATATACGTCCAGGGTGCTATGAGCTCCTGAAAATCAAATCAATTGAGAAGGGTGCCTCTGAGATGGATATTACCACATTGGCAAAAACAAATCAATGCAGTATTCTTTTGTACAACTACAGGTGACTCCCTGCAGGGCTATGAGCTCATGATACCATAGCAGACCAGCATAGGATGGAAAAGCCCAGAACAGTGACTTCTTCTTACACATGTGCAAAACAAGCAAATCTGGGCATTTTGATTCTTGGGAATGACCAGCACATTCTAGCAGTGTACATGGCAAGCATTTATAACCATGTATCTCTTTATGCTTTAAGTCTTAAGAAAAGAGAGATTTTGTCTTCACCTTGCGGAAAGCATTTCTGGACTCCTTGTAGTTTCGGCTGAGGCTGCTTACAAGATCCATTATGAACCTCCAGGACATTAAATTTTGAAGATCTCTGTATAAAAAAACCCACCACCCAGCAACAGAAAAGATGAGGCTGCAAAGCTTCTAAAGACTGACATGAAATGTAAACTTTGAGTTTATGGGCACTCTGACATACCTACCTGGGAGAATATTTGGCAAGAATAGGCTTAAGTTTGGTTAAATATTCTGGAGCATAAACAACCACTTCTTCCTCATTTTGAATATTAATATTCACAGTTGACATGATTTCATTTGTGAAATTTGACCAGCTGAATGGCTGGGGAAAAAGCAGGCATAAAACATTCAGTAATTATGGCTTTTTCTTCTTGGTTCCAAGAATTATGGTTAGAAAGTCACACACTAAAGGGTGTCAGCTGCATCATAAAACATTTAATAGAATAGCCAGTTGGTGTTTGAGATATTTTTTTTTGTGAATTGTTTCAATCAGCTTTTGAATAAATATTAGTTCTCCAATATGACTATTTAGATAGCAGAATTAAACCAACCATTTAAGAGCAAAAACAAATCCGTTATGCATACCGAGCACACAATTAGAAAACAGGCTTCTTGTCACTTTTTCTCTAAGAGATATTTTTTTAAAGAAGAAAAAATACAGTTTTAAAAATAAAGCTTCCTTAGTTTGTGAGAATGCAAGCAGATACAACTGTCTTTTAACAGTAGATGTTAACAAACAATTCATTTCAACACAGCAGTACACTTGAGCAGAGTCAGCTTCAAACAGAACATTATTACCACAGAGGTGCTATGGAGCCAGACAAAGGAACACGCATTGAGCTATTCATCTTAGTTCTATAGATAGGCATGCAGGTTTTAAACTTGTCTAAAAGACAGAATCTTTTCTATTATTCCTTACATGGGAACTGAGCGTCTAAGATCCTCATGATCTTAGATCTTATCTATGTACACCAAGGTCCCTTACTGTGTAGGAAGTGCTATGCTAAAATACTTGGTTTCCTTTGGCGCTTTGGACCAGTCTTTCAAAACGCATTTATTTAATTCATTATATCAAGAAGTGAATATAAGAAATGACTAGCTTACTAAGAAAGCAACCAGAATCAGGATTACAGAATTAGTATAGAGAGAATGCTGACTGTGAGGGTTTTTAACATAAGTGTGGCTTCATGTCCCAGCCATGTGGCCCAATTACTACACAAGAAAAAAAAAAAAAAAAAAAAAAAAAAACAAAAAAAAAAACAAAACAGAGGAAAGTGTTAGAGACCAGCTAAACAGAAACAAGCAAGTCCTGTCTATTAGTAGATACTGAGACAGATTTCCTTATTAACTGATTCTGTTTGTAATTTGTGTCCTAAATTCCTTCATAGATGGCCTGGATGAGAACATGGCAAGTTCTTACGTGTAGATCATGCTGTTTTAAGAACTAAAGAGAACTTTCGTGTCTTCTTGCTTGACATCCCACATCGAATGACAATGTAGCGGGCTTTCAAAAAGAGTCACACCTTCTCCAAACCCTTTTCTGCTGCAGTGTCTAAAATCTTGCACACGTCCCTTAAAAGGGATTTTGCCTTTGAACCCTATTCTACTTAAATACAGAAATAGCAGTTTCAAAGTCTCCCTGCCCCGGGACTTGGTAGGAAGTCAAACAGTGAAAGTCATTGAAATTCATTGAAGTTAATTCACTTCAGTAAATAAAATACAATGCTATGATCTCAGGAAATGGTCCCGGAAAGGGGCACATAAAACTTGCAACCTTCATACTTACCTTCCCATCGACCTCTAGAGAAAAGTTGTTTTGGAGCTCAGCTACCGTCATTTTGTTATAAAGCAGCATGGGGTCATTTCGGTCTTCGGGTTTAGTTGTTGCCTATGGATTTAACATGTGATGGTTGTTTTAGAAAAATAGGTTGGAAAATAAAGTATAGGGTAGGTCTACGATAATTTGATTTTGGTTCAAAATTTGTCATTTTATATACATCCAGTAATAATTAACAGTATTTACCCAGAGCATCTAGCTTAAAATTCTTCAAGAATCTTTTTATATTTTGGTAGCTACTCAAGCCACCGAATTAATATTTGTGGCTAATGGTCAATTATGTCTGCCGCTGTTTCATATTATAACTTTTTCTTCTGATATAGTCATCTCCAATTTATCTCTCATATACTGGCTTCTACCCTCACTTCATAATTCAGTATTCTAGTTAAACTTAAGCCACGGGGAAGGGAAATGCAAAAGTTTTTACAGCAATTTATAGCATTTGGCACAGTAAATTCTTAGTCCATGGCAGGCAGGTGGCAAGTTGGTTAAGAAAGACCACTCCTTCCACTTTCCTGATCACCCTGCCTTCTGACTAATTAGTGATCAACATTTAATCCAGGTTAATTTTGTTCACTGAGTCTAAAGATAAAGTTATGATAGCAGGTTAGTGCTTGGGATAAATAGTGGGAAGACACAAAAATGAAGGTGTCACATGAGAACTATGTGACAATGTCCCCTTTGGGTAACTTATCTCCTCTTCGATGAAGACAACCAGTACTGAATATCTCCTTCATAGGAGGCAATGTGGACACTGTTAGACACACATGAGTGACACAGAGATGCCTGTCATTCTATGCCAACCCCAGAGCCTAAGGCAGGGGGAAGCCTAATACAGTGGCAAGGGTATCGGAGGCAACAGAGTGACAAGGGTGGAGCCAAGTCTGGCCAAGGGAACACAGCCTGAGAACATGGGAGTGAAAAAAATCCCAGGACAAGAAACTGCTCTCTAGCAATGCAGTTTTCCTCTGAGAACCCCAAGTAACCCATCAAACTGTTCTCCACCAAGCAGTCTGGCTCTGGTTGGGGGCAGGAGGGGGAGGGCTTGGTTTCATGTAGCCCTAGCAAGTCTAAAATCACTCTCCCTTATCTTCGGTTTTCAAGATCCCGAAGAGGCCAGATGGAAGTGGTGAGCAGATGGGGACATGAGAGATCAGAGTTTTGCTCGCACTGTGAAGGAAAGGAGGCCAGGTTCAATCAGTAATCAGCATATTGCCTAGGGCCAGAGTTCACTTGCTCATGCCTGCATGTCCCCTCTGAAGACTCAGAGAACAGAGTGCCAGCCCAGTCTCCAAGAGCTTGCCTGGAAGCAGAGGAAATACAGAGATCCCCTTGGCTCTGTTGCTAAGTTCTGTCTTCCCTGAACTCAGCAATCTCAGAGGCTGGAATCAGTGGCACCACGTTGCCTTCTAACCAAGTTCTCAGAAGGACAGAGATGATCTCTGAAGACACTTTGTATTTCAAAATAACAAAGTAAAATTGTTTGGAAAAACTACCATGGCTTTGCATGCGTCTTCCTGGGTCCTGAGGGCATCTCACAATCTGAGTATAAGATTTTGATGCAACTCCTTATTATATAGGTAGGTGGTGAAGCGCAGCTTGTTTGCTATTTGTCAAACTTAGTGTGTCTTTTGGATTTCAGGAAATTCTATAGTTTCAAAGGTTGTCCTGAAGTCAATGATCCATTACTGGCCTATGCATTTTTAATCACTGACTTAAAGAGCTAGTTTTATCTTTAAAACAGCATAGAGAAGAGAGAATGAAACAAAACATGGTTCACATTATTCAGTATCCCAGAAAAACAATGTGTTTTACATTGGCAATTTCTTTTTCCAAATCCATAACTTTATTCATTTCCAAAGAAAGCTGGTTTTCATCAATGGGCAATCTTTCTTCCTGACGAATCAGTCTGGCCACGGCAATCATAAAATCCACATATGCTGTGCAAGCCTACAAGAAATAAGTAATAAGTTGTTGGATAACCTTCTGATATTCATCATGGTACATAAAGGTTTTTAAAATACTAATTTTTGGTAGCAGAAAAAGCACAGTGAAATGGAAATATTTTCTAAGTGCTAAAAGAAATGACTTATACAGATTCCTTTAATTAGAGCTGAGGCATGACAATAAAATATCATTTTGAATGGTTTAATTTATGGTCATTTGTCTATGGAGATTATCTTATTTGCAATACATTTACTTTGCCTTTCTAAAAATACAGTTGTAAAGCACTTGTCAAGTAATTACATGATTACTTCTTTTCCTTTACTAAACCATTTCCCCAAGGTTGACTTTTCATATATATATATGAAAGCATTTTTTCAACTACTCATGCAGAGACAGTTACAAATTCATATAGTATGACCAGGACATCTTCACATCTTGGGCCAAGCTAAGTTTTTGAGACTGCTCTTAGGAGTTCTTCCAACGAACAGCCAAAGGTTTTCATTTTTCCCATAATTCTCCTGTTACTGTGAAGTTTCACTATAAGAGAAACTTTCACCACAGATTTAGATGCCATCTTTCTTCCACACACTCCATTTCTTTATATTTTATCTTCAGATACATTGTAATTTATAAGCAGAAGATGTAAACTTGAGTCCAGTGACATTAAGACTTTGAAAATTCAATCCTACTTTTGCTAAGTTTCAATACCCCGCTACTTATTAGATACTATCATGCATCAGCAATTAAAAGGAAGGGTGATCATTTAAAATTTACCTATATTTAAGTTTCTGTCAGGAGCTTTACTCTTAGTAAATCTGGTGACTGTCATCAGGGGAAATCTGCCTCACAACTTGGGGAGAAGCAGCGCCTTGGATGCTTCCCAGACTCGGTATCCAGGTAAATACAAATGAAAGTTCTATATGATGTATGCTAAAAGGGTATAGCGCTTTCAGTTTCAGGACAGCCCTACATCCTTACTAATGGTTCACAAGCATAAAGGTTACCCTTATATTCAATTTGAACGCAGAGGTACATGTGTATTTACAAGTGCTCACAATCAAACATAAAACAAAGAGTAAAGTGAAAATGTGTTATTAAGCAAGAGCCTTATACAAATGTGTAACTACAACGAATCTCAAAAACTTAATGTACTGCTACTTGTGACCCTCATTAAAAACTAAATAGATGGTTCCCTGGAGAGAGGGGCTTTCTCTGTTGAGGGATACACTGTGATGTTACGAGTACCTCGGCAGCGCTTCCATTCATGCATTTCAATAGGCGAAAGTATTATTATTACTTTTTTGGACTGTGAATTTGTATTTAAAAACCCAGTCACTAAGGTAGTAGGAATGAAAGATAATTTCATATGAGTTATTCCCAACTTCACTCTTTTCCTATTAAAACTAATCAGACTTCTTGTTTCTCTTTGAAACAAATAAGTATGTCTGGGTTCAAACCTCATGAGACCACTTAGGCCAAAGTAGAAGAATGTAGTGTTTTGAATTAACTGTATTTCAAAGCATATAAATCCATCTGCTTTCAGCAGGGAATTACTACTGGCTATGAAGGAGATGATAATTTGAATTTTCTAATATCAATCTTTTGAGATTTCTCTGTTATATGAGATACATTTTTGTTAATGGGGAAAGAAAAGAACAAGAATTCTTCTGTGTACTTTGTTGATTCTGCAATCTAGTTCTTATTCTTTCCAAGTGTACCTGATGGCAATCTTGGTGGATGACCTCACAAGACAACCCTCGAGGCCTGCTCATATTGCTAGTTCTGGGCACACTTGCATAGAACGCAGTGTTGATGAATGAGGTCCAGCCTGTTAACCACTTCTCACTAAAACACATATTTTAGCATCTTTTCTTTCCAAATTCCTGTAGTAATTGTCAGAACTCAATCTCACGGCTGCAAGATTCTAACTGAAGGCTGTAACTTTTTCTTATTTTTAAACATGTAACAAGCCAACTGATATCAAGTGTACAGATTTGGAGAAACAGATATTTTTGAAAGTGAAAATTAGTTTTTCTTTCTTGTGATTTAGAGATTTAGTTTTCAGGGCAGGGACAAGAATGAATTCTCATCTTTTAACAGTTGTGTCTTTGAATAGACAGTAAATCAAGGATCATTTCAGCGGAGAGGAACCTGAAAACATCTAGTAGACCTTTGTTTAAAAAAAAAAAAAGATTATAAATCTTAACACTGACAAAAGTAGTTTTAAAGGAACAATTGCTTTTAAAAGGCAGCATAAAATCCATATAGGAGCAATTTCATTTAAAACTACACATTAGCAAAACTAATATTTACTAATCCTAACATCATAGATTATTGCTTTGATTAGAATAATTTCCATTTTACAATAACAGACGATGGTGTTTATAAACTAGCTCCCCGAGCCCAGGAAAAAAAGCTGATATTTATTAGAATTGTTAAAGAGAAACACAGCAATATCACTGTTAGTAAAGGACATCAAGATCCAGGAAAGAGAAGCAAGCGCTCCAGTCAGATTGGCTGATGTCTGGGCACCCTGGTGGTGGTGACCTATAAAGATCAGAAGTTTCATAACCAGATATTTTGTTTGTGACACTCAGCTCTTGTCAGTTTTTTGACTTTTCCTTCCTCAGAAGAAAATCTACAAAATGTAGACCAGGAAGTAACTGAGAAGTCACAGAACTATGCTCTAAGTAGCCAGCCATTAATGCTCGGTAATGTTCAAGTGTTACTCAGGAAGTTTATTGGTAGACTCCACCAAGGACACCAAGCATGAAAGATGCTTTCCATCTAAAGGGCTCAGAAACTTCCTATTAAATAGCATGCAACTGCTGTTGCAGAGACTTGTTCTCCATAGAGGGATTGTGTATGGAGAATTGCATACCTATTCCTGGGCACCAGGGATGAGACCAAGCTGAACCTGAAAAAACTCGACAACAGGACTTGAAGAACACAGGACCCAAGAGGATCTACCTTGGCCCAGGGAGGGAACTGAGGCTGTTGGTAGGTTACCAAAAAGAACCTGGAGCTTTAAGATAAGCTTTTCAAAGGTTTATTGTTCATGCGGTAAACCAGAATTTTCACAAACTGCTTTCAATCTCTAAAAATTCTCTTTTCAGTGGAAAAAGTATGTAAGTATCATTTAATAATAACCAATAGATGTTACACACTGTTATTAACAAAATGAAGTACACAACCACAGCTCAAATGATGGAAAAATTCAACATAATGTTTAAGAAAGCTTTTAAATGCATAAGCGGAACATACTTCAGCACAATAAAGGCCACAATGACAAGTCCACAGCTAACGTAAGACTTAGTGGTGAAAAGTGGAACACTTTCCCTCTAAGACCAGAAACAAGACAAGAATGTCTGTTCAAGATTGTACTAAAAGTCCTAGCCAGAACAATTAAGGTAAGCACAAGAAATAAATGATATCTATATACAGGAAAGGAAACAGTGAAATGGACCATTTGCCAATGGCATGATCTCATACATAGAAAATGCTAAAGGTGTCATCAAAAGTAGTGTTAGAAGTGAAGCAGTTCAAAGAAACCTATACACAAAGATCACTAGCAGTTATGCAAACAAAAATTGAATTACTTGACTTAGAAATGAAAAAAATCCAATTAACAATAGCATCAAAAAAGGAGTAAATTCAGCTGGCATTTTCTAACCTCCTTCATACTTAGTGGGAGCCACATGGCATCTGGTCAGCCTTGGCCACAGAGCAAACCCTTTCTCAAAAACCAAAGAAATCTGTTAGTTAAAAAATTAGAGGAAATGGTCCAGCATTTTTTTCTTTTCTATTTCCCTTTGGCCTTAAACATGAATATGGCACAATGAGCCAATTCTGACCAGGCAGACTAGTGTAAATTCCAGAGGAGGCTGAGATTAGAAGAGTAAAATTAAAGGCAGCTGAGGCCACAGGGAGTCCCACGTGCCCTACCTCACCTGGACTGCATGCTTTGAGATCAGAAAGGGAAATAGAAATATTGTCTTTTGCTGCAGGTACTGTAATTTTGAGTATTTTTGTTATTGCAGCTCAGACAAAACCCAGTCCAGTACCAACTTACATGCCTAAAGAGACAAGAAAGTCAGTGTAAATCAGTGAATCTTCTAGATGATGGCTACACAGAGGCAGAAAATGATGCTCTGTCTCCATGGAGTGACTGGAACGGCTTTGGCTGCACAGCCCTTTGAAAATGCAAACTTAGGTTTCTAATTCTACAGACATAGGAAGAAATGTGTGTTACCAAGTGAAGGGCCCAATACTGCAACGGATGCACAACAATTCAAAATTTAAAATAAAACAAGTCTTGAAGCTTATGTGAAAATGCTTCTGTAATCAGATGCAAACCCCAAATGGCCAATTTGTTACCTGACATTATGAACTAACATGGAAAATAAAATTCACAAAATATTCTATCTATCATCTTCATAAAATCTTATCAAAGGAAAAAAGGAAGAAACTTCACCACCTTGACTATTAGGTACAGTTTGATATCTGAAATGTTAAACTATAAAATAAAAACTATCTAAGGTTGGAAAATGCTAACAATTTATAAGAGTATAATTGTAAATATGAACAGCTCTTGGGCTGAAAATGATAAAAAATGAGCTGACAATCTTCCCTCATTTTTAACTCTGCAACAGGAAACAGCTGGATACTTCTTAAAGCCAACGCTGCAGTCCACACAGAAACTGGATCACTCAGATATTCTATATCCATTCAATTACCTGTGCTATTAATTATGGCCTTTGATATTATAATGTATGTACTTTTCTTAATTTCAGTGTTGTGTACTACTACACAATAAGTATCTACTCAAACAGATACTTATTCCATGTTATTTGAACTGAACATGAATGCAAAACACAACCATGTCTACCTAATGATGTTAGCCAAGCAGTGATTCTAGTCATACTACCACTATGTGACTCTTTAGGATCATGAAAAGCAACCATAATTTTCTTCTGTGTTTCAAAAGAGTTATGAGAAAAGCATCTATAGGACAAACTCCTTCCTTCTGATATCTAATAACACTCAATATTGCTGGTTTGGTCTGCTGGGGCTCCTTGCATCAGTAAGAAAGAACACATTCACAATAGGCTAAGACAGGGAAGCTTATGAGATACTAAGAAGGCAATCCAGGTCAACAACAGCTGTGTGGGATGTGATGTCCATGGCTTAGGTGCTATGGGCAAGGGGGTAGACAGCCATATCCGCATAGTTCTCTGAAAAAGTTCTGGAAGGTACTTTACACTGTACCAGTCAGTCCCCAGTCCTTACTGACAATGCTCTATACTACAATTAATCTGACACTTTTTGTGTTTTGTTAAATGATCCAAGTTAGACATGAATGGAAACATTTATAACTGATTTTTAAAAATATATCATATGACTTAAAAACTAAGAATCAAAATTCATGAGAGGAATTCCAAGCTTCCTTATTTGACTTCCATTAGCCTAGTGGGAATGTTCATTCTACCAAAGGAACTTCAGCACTGTGTGGCTTTGGTTATTTCCCCAGCAGAGAATGGAAGGAGTTTTACATTTTCCTTTTCGTTATTAAGGGTCTGCACAGATGGTGCTGCAGGCTGTGTCTGATTCTTCTCGCCCTCTGCTTGTATTTACCTCTTTATATATTCCAGTACACTCATAGTAGTCTCTGGAAGGGAGGCCAAGTCGAGGCTGGTCAAACTGTAAAAAATATACATCAAAGAAAACAAATTACTCAGCAAGTAAAACATTTGGATAAAATACAACTAGGCCCACTCTCCCTGCTTTGTAAATGAAACATTCAGAAATGAAGTAAATAAACATCTCGGAAAGGTTTCTACACTTCTTGCAAGTAACAAATGCACGGGCAGCTACATAATCCGGGGGATTTCGCTGTGCATATGTGAATGAAAGTGAAGAAAACTTGAACTAAAAGTACCCTAGGAATGATTTTAAATTCAGAGCAGAAGATAAAAGCAAACTAAAGAATATGAGGCTCCCGGTCGAGTGAGCTACCAGATTACGCACTTACAGGATTTCCCAGTTTCTGGACATTCTAATGTGATCCCTTGGGGCCATGTTTGTCTGCACCACCCTTAACTGGGATATATTCTAACTGGTAGAAAGAAGTAAGTCATGTCCTTTGTTTAGTTGGGTGTGTGGTAGTGGAGGTATGCAAAACCACTGTGGTCACTCGACAACCTATTTGCCAATGTAAATCTTGCCAGAAATCTCGAGATTGTCTACTGAAGAGGTAGGGAGAAGACTCCCCCTAAGACGTCCCCAGAGGTGTGTGTTCGGAAGGATTTTAGCAGGTGTGGACAGTAGCGTATGTGAGAAAAGGATCTGCCGTTCTCGTCTATGTGGTCCAGCTTGGGCACCGATGTGAAGGACAAGTGGGCCCACTGAGCGCTCTGGGAGACTCTTTCCTCTGCGGTACATGGCAGAATAGGATGTATTAGTAACCTAGAGCCCTGATAGATAAAGGTGGGATTCCTTGAAGTTTTGAGGAGTCCAACACATGAAGGACCCTTAAAAGGATGGTATTTTATTTACCTTCACTCAGATTTAGGGAAAACCAAAACTGTGTTCAAAACCCCCTTTGGGGTATTTTATTTTAAATCAAAGAGGAATTTTTGGTTTCCAGGCCTACATTACTTTATGTAAACCAAAGCATGAAACATACAAAGAAACTGGGAGTTATTTTCATAATAAGAGGAACCTAGGGAGCTCTCTAAAATAGAGGTAAGAGTGAGAAGGGAGTGTCTAAAACATATCACCAAGAAATTCTTTTAACATGGCGCCCCAGGGCTGAGAGCCAGGGCATGGATTTATTACCCCCTAGTTCATGCAATGAAAGGGAGAATTGGCATTACTCAAATATCAATGAAAACAATGTACATGGGATTTCATTACAAGTTAAAGATAGCCTTGGCTGCCTGACACACACATACACTTACATGAATTATATGGTGGGTAGAATTCTTATCATCGGTGCCAACAAAAAAATTAATGAGGACTTTTTTTCCATATTTAGAATTCAGTTGTGCAATAGCTTTCTCAGCTGTCCAAGAAGTACCTAAAGGAAGAGAAGGGGAAGCACATTTTCTAAAGCTATGCTTCATTAGCAATACTATATTGTGGAAATCATTAATTTCAAAAGAGGAAAATGGTCTTACCATACGTTTCTTCCCAATTTTCTGAGGCTACTGGCCACCCATATATATCTGGTAGCAGTCTGAGTAGAGGCTGCCCGCCTCTGCTATCAATAGCAGCTTTTCGGAACAAGGAAAATAAATACAAAGTGGGGTTATGCATATTCTATTCCTATTTTGTTACTATACACATATTTCAAATAAAGAATACTTACACTCATTTATACAGGACCTGTACAAGGTTTTCGCCTTCTGCACTGCTACTATGTCCTCAGTTCTGGGTTCTTCAAGGACATCTGAAATAAGGCATTTAGTAAAATGGGTCAATAGAATTGCTGATTTGGGGCTGCTATTAACATTTTCAACATAGGTCTAATTAAAAGTAAATGTTTTCTCCCTCCCCATTCTTAAATCCTGAGAAAAACCAAGCCATCACTTCTAGAACAGAAGTGAGGTTTGTGTAAGTTTTTTTGAGTAGGTTGTGAAGGTGTGTGTGCATATGAGTGTGTGTGCACACGCATGTATGTGTGTGTGTGTGTGTGTGTGTGTGTGTGTGTGTGTGTATTTCTCAGCCTCAGGTACCAGTTACTTTTGAATTTTAGATTTGTACAAAACAAATAACACAAAGGAATTTGGGACTTAGTGTAGATAATCCTCTGATGACTAGAAAGTAATTATCTTTGTGTGAATGTGCAATACACGATCCAAATAAACTGTTCTTCCTGCTTAGATTGTAAAACATAGGAAACTCCCATTTTTCCTACAAAGCAACTTCTAGAAGATAACGGGATGGATGAAGATGGCAGAGATGAGTCTAAACAGTCTCCACTTTTCAGTGAAGACAGACCCTGGTAAAATCTTCAGCAACTTTAACACAGCATGGGGCTGAATAGGGGCATCTGTGGAAATGGTTCAGTAGCAACCATTAAATGTTTCCCTTCTATAAAACAACTTGAAGACACCATCACTGGGGATGAAGAGCTTTAGAATTTGTGTATTTAAAATTAAATCAGGGAACGTTAAGAGATGACCACACATCCATTTTGGTGTCTACTACCCTCAGAGTGACTCAATGGATGTCTGCAAATCCTGAAGGAAATAAAAACTGTAATCTTTTGCCTAATTTCCTGTAATGGCCAGAAGTTATACCTCTAAAAAAATGGATGTCAGAGGAAAAATTTTCAATTCACAGACACTGTCAGCACTAACCTTTCAAAATGACTTCCAGCTCATCTCTTAAAATGTCAAAATTACTGTATCGGGAACTGGTCTCTGGAATGACGTTGCGTTTCAACCAGCCTCCACAAGCATATTTGAAGAAGTCTGTACAGGGCTCAGCAGAGGCATCCATGTTCTGGATCAGTCGAGAAGCTGCAAGACCAGAGACAGGATCAGATGAATTGAAAGATGTATTGCTTAAGTAGGCTGGAAAGGGAAAAGGAAGCTCTTCTTCACATCAGCTGCACAGAGGCTCTTTTCTGTACTTACATAATAGTCCACTCTGATGGCATCATGACTAGTTTGTGTCTGTAGTCCTCTGGCCCTTTACTACTATAGTGGGTTTGTTTTATTTCTGAGTGGCTTGAGTTCTCTGTCCTAAGTCCTCACTGTTTCCTAATGTGTCTCCTTGCACCTGGCTCCAAATAACTGAACTTTTTCTACAGTTTACAACTTCAAGGAAAAAGAATTATAGGTCTACTTTGTGGTGGCCATCTTGGCCTATGGTTAACATAGTGTCATTCTGCACTCTGGTAACTTTTAGGAGCTGCTTGCTTTTCCGGGTGTTGCGTCCTTCAAATTATCTCTGAGACTCCAAAGGATGAAGAGCTGATTGCTAATGGATTTTTATTGGCTCAGTAGGGATCTGAAGCCAGTCATTAGTTTTGTATCTTGCTTACAGTTCTTTAAATTTTTATTACATTTTTATTTATTTATGTGTGTGTACACAGGTGTGTCACAGCATGAATCTAAGGTCAGAGGACAACTCATGGGAGTTGGTGCTCTCCTTGAACTGTGAGTCCCGAGATCAAGTTCAAATTGCCAGGTTTGGTGGCAGGAGCCTTTACCCACTGAGCTATTTCTCCGGTCCCACTTACAAAACTTTGCAATTAAAATTCATGCCCAATTTGCATTTGTTTATGGAGAGTCTGTTATAAAATTGGCTGTAAGCTTGCAAGATTTTCCTGAGGTCCACTCTTAGGTGTTTGAAAAATCGTGATGAAAACACAACACTGAGTATTTACAGTGCATAAGACATGTACTTGTAGGTGCTATAACTGATAAAATATGAATTATTACATTCTGAAGATTAGAATAAGGCTCAAGGCTCACACACTTTACACTTGGAGTAGAGCAGACCCACCCCCTACAATCCTCCCAGCTTTCTTTCTCACAGTAAGTTCAACTGTTTTGTAATGAAAACAGGAGCAATTGAGAATTCACTGGTATCAGCAGAGTACATATATTCAAGTGAGCTTCTGAAAGTACTTCACTTTCTGAACCAATTAATTAATTAACTAAAAACTTGAAACAATTGCTGAGCTGTGTCGATTTTTTTTTAACTTGGTATGGTAAGTTTTGCAGCTAAGCTTCAAGCCCCTAATTCTAAGCACGTTTAGGATGTGTTTGCTTGCTGAACACCTCAAGTCTAACTTTTATACCCCCTTCAAATCAGGCATCTTTAAACTTCCATGCTATGGTACACAGCATATCGTTAGAATAGACTCTTAGGATTGAGTTCTTGGGAAAGACTCTGTATTATTTCCATCCCTTTGCTAACTTTTAATTCCTTAGCCTGTTTTCCACACCCTTTTTTCCATGTTCAATATCAACCCAGTCTTCATTTTCTGCTGATTAATTCATCCCACTGGCTCTCTCTTTTATATATTCTGCTCATGTGTCAGATTAAACTCCCTAAAGACACTTTTGCACTGGCCGCCACATTACTCAAAAATGTCAGTGGCTTGTCATTTTCCAGGTTAAATGACAAAGTCTTTAACTTGGTCTTGAAGCCATCCTCTTCCCATTATCCTATCTATATTTGTATTCACCTCTGTTCCCATGAGACAGGCCGAATACTCCAATGTTTCTTAGCCCTGAGCCTTTGCTTCTGACCTCCTCATCCCAGATCTTGGATCCCTTCTCTGCTTCTTTTCAATTTCTACTTACCCTTCAAGGTTTGGCTCGTAGCCCACTTCCCTAAAATTCTGTGACTCCGAGCTATAAGGAAAATCTCTCTCTCTAGACTCCTTTGAGTTCACTGCCTCACTCAATATTTGGTGTTCCAATGAAGCTTCTTTGAGCTTTTCATTGTGGACACTTTCTCTGTCTCCCTCACCAATTTGTTGATGGCATTAATCTTTTTGTATGCCCATCAACTGACATCTATTAATGGGGTGCAGTTATATGCCTGAGCTGTGTCCTCTTCTCTTCCCACGAGTCAGCTCAGTTCCTGTTTTACTGGACTCTATCTATACCAGCCCAACCCTTCTGCATTTTTTTTTCACCTTATGAAATTGCAGGCATTTTTAAAGCCCAGCTTAAATCCACCTTGACAAACACCATCCCCACAATACCCACGTCAGCATGTATCATCCTCAGCACACAGGAACAAATTCAGTCTCTCCCCAACCTAAACTTTAGCTCCATGAAGGTAAGAGACTCATTCTTCTATTCTCACAGGGTCAAACACCACTTGCTCAAGACCAAACAGGAAGAATTCTAGCCTGAACACAACAGGACAAGAGAAGAAAACCTAAAAAATTGCTGGGTGGTGGTGATGGTGCAAACCTTTAATCCAAGCACCTGGGAGGCAGAGGCAGGTGGATCTCTGCTAGTTCAAGTCCAGCCTGGTCTACAGAGTGAGTTCCAGGACAGCCAGGGCTACACAGAAAAACCCTGTCTCAAAAAAGGAGGAGGAGAAGAGGAAGAGGAGGAGGAGGAGGAGGAAGAAAGGAAGGAAGGAAGGAAGGAAGGAAGGAAGGAAGGAAGGAAGGAAGGAAGGAAGGAAGGAAGGAAGAAAACCTAAAAAAAGAGAAGAAAAGAAAAAAATAATTTCCTTGAAATTGGAAGGAAATAAAAATCCAATGGCAGGAGAAAGTGAAATCAACACCCTCCAATTAAGAAGATTGTCATATGAAGTGAAAACCCCTCAAAAATGGAGCTTGAACACACTAACTAAAGACCTTCTAGAACTACACTCTTCTTCTGAACTTTTCTGCTTGAAAAGTTGAAAGTAGATGTTGTAAAAGCCACTGACATTTGGGGACCAAGTCCATTCATCCTCTTCCTGGGAAGTGGGTGGCTTATTCGAACACCCTAGGATAGCACAATCTACTGCAAAGTCATAAAGAAGCAATGAGCTTGCACAATGAACAGTGGGAGTGGCTGGTAAATCTTACAGCCCATTTGGAATCCTACATACCCCATCAAACACTCTGAATAAAAATAATGGTGTAGTTGAAATTCTGTGCTCCTGAGTATAAAAATCAGTCCCTTGAGTGCATGTGAACCTCCCAAACCCCCCACAATGGGGAAATGGATTAATATTCCCTCTCAGGCCAGCTTTCCTTGCCAGATCCCAGCATCTGTACTAGCCCAGAGAAACAGCGTTCAGAGACAAGCAGAGGGCTGGGAATAGGCAATTGTGCTAGCTCCTTCCGGTGCCTCTTGTAAATTCCATTGACCAGAGAAGGCTCTGAGTGTCAGTGCTTCGAATCACTTCAAAGAAAGTTCTGTTCTGATGAATATTTGGGGGCCATAGGCTAAGGCAGGTCACAGGCTAGCACTTTTAAGCTGAGTCTTTGATGAACTTTCCTTTAATCTCTTATCATAGACTGATTCTCATCTTGCACCTTATCCTCGGGACCTCCACTGTGTTGACTTTTCTTTGAAGTCAGCAGTAGACATGTGGGTAGAAGGACTGTAGGAAACATGCATGACTGTCAAATTGGTTGTAACTGTCTTTCTGTTTTGTGCTGTCCTTTGAATTGCTGGACATCCACACACAGCCACACCCCTGCTCTTCAGATGTTTATGACTTCGGAATAAATGACTATGTTTTAAAGTCAAGCAAAATTATTTACTTCAATAAGTAAACATGAAAAGGCAAATGTATTGATATGGAGTGTTGTTTAGCCGGTAGGTGTAAAGTGGAGGGAAAAAAATGCTACAGTGTTAAAAAGCTCTATGTAAAAGTCCCCAAATTCCAGAAGGGTAGATGCCGAGGTACTTAGTATAGTTATATCTATGGGGAGGGGGTGTGGGTGTGTTTAATTTTGTAATATTTGCTTATCTTAGCCGGGCGTTGGTGGCGCACGCCTTTAATCCCAGCACTCGGGAGGCGGAGGCAGGAGGATCTCTGTGAGTTCGAGGCCAGCCTGGGCTACCAAGTGAGCTCCAGGAAAGGCGCAAAGCTACACAGAGAAACCCTGTCTCGAAAAACAAAAAAAAAAAAAAAAAAAAAACAAAACAATATTTGCTTATCTTTATTTCCCAATTTGTATTAGATGAATATGCATTCATTACCCTTGCTATAAAGAAAAAGTTAATTTTTAAAATTTAGTCACATAAAGACAAGCGAAGTAATCTCCCATTAATAATGAGCTTATTTCTTATAGACGACAGTTCTGAATGTTCTGGGCTGATAAATGGCGCACCATTTTTTCCCTAACTAATCTCCTCATAACATTCTCCCAACTTATTTGACTCTGGGAATTTAAAAACAAGCTCAGCTAGTATCTGGGGAAGTCATTAATTACTGTATTCATTACCGAGGGTGTTTTGTGTGGGTATGACTTGGAAATGGAATACAAGCTAGGGAAACATTTTAGTCTTTAAGTCAGAGAGACTTGCTTTGAATTCCAAAGTTCTGTTGCTGCTTAGTTGCACGTGATTAAGTAATTTCCCCAAGACGAGCAGCTAGTAAATGTTAGAAGTATAACACTTGCTCCTTGGTGCATGTGTTTGCAGGCTTTCCCCATGTGCAGGCCCCCAAGGTTGGGCCATGTGACCGGTAGAGCCTCCCACATGCTTCTCTCCTCTACTGCAACCCAACAATGTTTTCTTCGGTCCTTGCTAGTCCTCCTCTTCACTTTTCCATGCCACTCTCCAGTCACCGATTCCCTCCTTGCAGGAGAAAGGCAGGGCAGACCATCAGGGACTGGAGCATCGGGATGGAGTAAGCATTTCTCGTAAGCAGCACTGGGACAAGCAGGAATGGAATGTGGGCCAATGGAGCACACAGGAGCCGAGATCTGTCTGACCGATATTCAAAGCACACTGGATAAAGGAGCCCCAAAAATGTCAGCAAAAAGCTTGGGGAACAACAGTTTTCCCTGACAAAAAGACTTTGAAACAAACAGATGTGTAGG